CCATTTGTGCAGCAGAGCTCTCCAGCTTAGCGACATTTTCTTCCTGTCAATTGGGAAAAAACTTGCACATCTTAAACAGGCACGCCATATTTTCATAGTATTCTTAGGTGACAAGGCCATGTATACCGAAACACCCAAACATCCCGGGGATCCTTGTAGTTGACCTTGTCAGATCTTTTCTTTTTTGGCGTTCCTCTCCTCTTCGGGGTAGCCCGCTTCCTTTCTTGTGGCGTCTTGGCTGGGGAACCTTCTGACTTAGCCTTCTTACGCTTGTTGGCACGCTTTGGAGTTTTCTTCGGGGTTCCGGTTTCACATTTTCGCTTTGGGGTGTGAGACTTCCTACTTCGTCGACTCCTACGCGGGGGTGTTTTGGTTGGTGTCTTTGCTTCCCTCTCCTCCTTCTCAACATCCTTCTTAAATTGTTTAGCTTCAGCGCGCTCAGCTGTTGTTGTTGATGCAGTGTCTGGAGGTGTGCTTGTATGCTCAGCTTTGGGACGGGACTTAGCTAAGGCATGGTCTGCTGGGAGTGCTCCGGGATGCTCGGCAAAGAATTTGTCAATGTTCTCACGCGATGTGTCGCGCTCCACGGGTTTTGCTGCAGCTGTCTGTGGTGGTGGCGGGGATGCAACATCTACCTTGGGGACTTCAATGCTTGCTTCCTGACTGGGCTCTTTTTGCTCACGCTTCTGCTCGGGCTTGCTACCTGATGCCTTTCCCTTTGGGGCCTTCTTTGGGGCGCGTGAGCGGCCGCGACCTCTCCCCCTACCCCTTCCCCGGGATTTTTTTCCCTCATCCCCACTTCCATCGCCATGCTCATTTTTGTACTTGTTGTCTGGATCTTCCTCTGCTGCTGACTCTTGCTCGATGTCTTCTTTCATTGCTTTTCTCACTGCCGCTTGGGCCTGCCAATATGTACGCCATGCCCAAGGGCCCAAGAAAGCCCTCCACTTAAAACATGTTTTTTTCAAACAAATGAGCGACTAGTGCACCTGCAACAAGTCAATGTTGTTCGACGAAACTCCTCTCAGCAGGGCCATTGCCGATACCTCAGCCTGTGACTGCAGGGAGCCATCAGCAGGTGGAGGGAGACTCGTCAAAGGCTGTCGGTCCTGGCAAAGCAAGGCAAATTACGGGTGCGGTATACAATGGAAGTTGGGAGGGAGAAGCAAAAGGTTCAGTATACCTATATATATATATATACACGTATATTATTATATACATATACCTATGTTCATACATGTAGATATAATATACCTGCACATTGAAATTGCTTAATCGCTCACTAGTATAACATATAAAGTCTTACAGGTATCCAAATGCAATCCCAGCCTTATTTGTTCCTTTTGATGTTTTGTTCTTCTTCTTTGGGGGCTCTTCTTCATCAGAATCCAATTCTGCAGCAAATGAACCCGGAGATGAAGGTAAGGGAGCTACTTCTGGCTCTACTGCCGGTCGGTTTCCCTTCAACAAAGCGTCACCCTCCTTGTTCATGGGAAGGAAATTGGGATGGGTCTGACCTTTCACCATTTTGCTGCCAGCACTTGCTGCAGGGGAATCATCTTGATCCTCACCTTCAACCAACAAAGTATTTTGGTGCATGCTTTCATCGTGACATTCTACTGGCTCAACACATTCGTCATCCATAAACCCTGCTTCTTCCTCACCCCCCTCTGCCCCACACTGACTGAGCTGCGCGAGAGCGTTCTGAGCGTCAAGTTCCTTAACCTCTTGGTCTGAAAGAAATGGAGTGGGTGGTGTGGGCGGTGGCTGGCTATCTGGTGGCGGGTGCAACGGGTAGTGGGATTCCTTTTCTTTCTTGGGAGTAGCTTCGCTTTTCTTCCCAGCCTACATGCATGACACATTGTGAGTATATATGCTAGATTCACTTGCCTCTAACAAAAACCTGTAGCATTATATCCTTGAAACGCCTGCTTCGCAAAAGTGGAACGTCCTTTCGTAGGAATCTTTTTCTTCTTGCCCTCCATGAGTATGCCTCTGTCCTGGAAACCACGCTGCAGATTGAAAGTTACAAAATCATACAAGTTAAGTCGGACAAAGGAAACAGTTCGAACTCTGGCCAAGAAAGGAAAGCCAGACCTGGAAAGCTGCCAGGGCCGTGTCTTTCAGGCACTGCATTCTTTGATGCCCGGACCTACCCAAGAGAATCCAAGAGATTCAATCAACTAATGGTTGACTGGACTGGACAGTACCCTTGCATCGGGATATCGCATCACTTGGTTGCAGACATAGGAGGCAATGGCACGGTGTAGGCCCGCTTCTGTGCGTGCCCAAGCCTGCATAAGAAGAAATTTGACGTTTTTCCCCCTAAATGGTCATCTAGAAACTGCAAAAGGCTTTGATGGAAAAACAATCGCAGTCACAACACCGAACCTGGTGTTGTTTAGGATCTGAAAAATTGGGGTTGATGCCAAGCTCAGCGGATGCCCAGGGCTTCCTGGAACAGACCCATGAGGACCAGTGTACATCGATGATTAACCCCAATCATATGAAGACATTAATGACATTATATTTCTTTGAATGCACCAAGCAATTGCAGTCCGTCACTTCCCCCTGCGTCGGCAAATCGCCACCAAAAGTAGCAATGAAGCCCATGCCCTGCTCATAACTTCCAGGTAGCACTACCTGCATACTGAGCTTATAAGAGATTTCCCAAGAAACAAGACACACTTTCACTGACATTTGAAGAAAGGACAAACGTAGCATCGATCAATAATTGGGAGATGGATTATCAAGGCCTCGTCGGCTCCAACTTTTCCCTTGTGCGGTCCAACAAAGCTAAAGACCTGGAAGTGCGGTAGGGCCCTACCCGCATCACAAGGGGTTGCAAGGGAGGATGATGGAGTATGCAAATCTTATCAAACGCTTGGAATTGCACCTTTCGCTTCTCTTCTCGCAGTTGCTTCCTTCTCAGCTTGAGATACTTTGGACCACATTGGTCGCGGTAATACTCCTCTCGTACAAGCACCCACAAGAGGGTTGAAAAAGGCTTGATTCCACTGGTGGTCCTTTTTATTCCAACATTTGCGGTGAATACTGTTGAGAAAATATGTCAAAATATTTTAAGCATACATGTGTCCGCTGCTTTCTCAAAGGGTACCCCCCGATCCTTGAGCATTGCGAGGCGGACGTCATCCAGCTTTGGACGAGTTGGCATCAGCCAACCAGCCAGCACTGCCGGTCAGCAGCGCAGGAAAAAAGATCAAGAGCTATGAGCCGCAGGTGGCCCCAATGCAAGAATAATCCAATACAGCGACAGCGTAACATCAAAAGTGGTGATGGAACTGTGACGCAAACATTAGAGGTCTGAAATTGCACCAGGAAAACACCGTATATGCATGCATGGGTAGGGGGGGCGCCACCTTTGTCACCAAGGGCTTCATCATCGGAGCTGCTCTGCATGAAAACGTTGGCTTGGAAATCCTCCATGAAACTCATACCTAATGGGGCATTGCTCGTTGAAACCAAAATGGAAAATATATGACGCGGGGTTACAATCACAATCTCTGAGGATGCAGCTTCGACTGAGGGCCCTCTTCATATCGATTCCCCATAGATATCAGCCTTGGACAGGCTTCATGGTTTCCCATGGTTTCTCTTAAGAGGTCTAACATCAGCCCCCACACTAACAAGATAACAAGAGTGTCACATCATCCATCTAGATTGCTGGCAAGAAACACTAAAGGTCCAAGGGAAAATTGATCAAATAGTCCATGGCAGTCGGGTGGCAGCAACGACGCTCCCAGCAGGGTAGAGGGGTTATAATTGGATTGCCCAAAATATTTCCTCATTTGAGCTGAGCCATCATTGGTTGGAATACCAAATCTTCAACACACAGATGATCTGATCCCGTTGCTCGATGCCAATGGTTTTGGGATGAAAGAACTACAGCATATAGCCACCTGAGCCGCAAAGACATCCCAGAATGCCAAAGGTCAGGCGTTCTCCCCAAAGTTTAGGCGCTCAGAAAGGCTAAACTTTGTTTAGTCGAAGACTTTCAGGGTTTATGCAAAGAAAAGTATTTCTATAATTTTCTATACATAGAAATAAGGCACCAAAAAGATCCGGTCAGCTTCATTGCTTTCCAGATCCTTAAGTGGATTTTTCAGATCTGGCCGCCTGGATCCCTACCCGATACGGATTGGTTTACCCGATAGGCGAACGGTCCATGGTCCAGTGAGATCCATGGAAAATCACCATGCTATTAAGAACGGTAAAGCATCTATTTCGATTAGGGCCAGCTATACCATGGCGAACTGTAAAATAACCAGAGGGTATCATATTCTATGCCCCTTCTTACCAAATTCAGTGGTAGGGTAGACCCTGCTCAGGTACATGTACTTTGCTGCTGCAACAGCTCAGTAGCTGGACATATCAGCTCAATCTTGTAGATTCAACAATATAGACCTAATTTCACCAATTGTTTCTCCGAGTCAAAAACAATGTGTAGTATATGTGTGTATATATATATATAATATAAATATAGTGTGATATATATATATAGACATACAGGGTTTCGGCTCTGCAGGGTTCGACCGTTACCCTCGTTGTCGATTAACTTAGCGGGACTCTGAGCAATTTCCCGCGGGTGCTTTGACCAGCTTTGCTGCCACTGCATCTTCAATTCTTGCGCTCTGGTGGGACTGGGCAGCCCACTATCGCCATTGCTCTCTAACTTTGTCCTGACATCCCCTGGCACCTTGGGATCTGCACTTGTTCTACCTGGGGTCCATTGTGTATGAGTCGGGCACTGATCGTCTTCTTCATCTTCATTTTGTTCCTTGACGAGGGCTCCTTGCACCACGGCTTTGGCTGGGCAGAGACGTGCTGCACGCAGAGCTCGAGCGCGGGCAAGAAGGAGCTTCTTCCTACACCGGCGAGGCTTTGTTCGACTGGATTCTGCTGGCTTGCGAAGGGTCAAGAACAGCTTGAGCCAACATCACTCAAGAGATCCTGCTCTCCTTCGTCTTATTTCCGCAGAAATGGCGACACAGAAGAGCCCGGCTTGGAAGTGCATCGATTGTCGGCGCATGATCAAGGGGAACGATATCTATTGTCCGGCTTGTGGACAACACTGGGAGGACTGCATGGACAGGGACCACCAGGATGTTGCAGCGCAGGACACCCATCGTCCGCTGACGCCATCTCGCCACTCGACTTATCGAGGGCAGACACAGGATGCCAGTTGGAATTGGAATCGAAGACCTTCGCAAAGCCCAAGACAGAGACAACGTCCACGCTCTCGTCGTCAACATGGACATGGTGGAGATCCACAGACCAATGTTGTGCAGAAGGGCAAAGGCAAGGGAAAAGGCAAAGGAAGTCATGGTCGTGGGAAAGCAGCCCCACAACAAGCACCTGCCCAAAACGCGCACAGGTTGGGGCAGGAAGGCATGGCACCATTACCTCCTCCTCCATTGCCACCGCAATCCAGTTTCGGAGATGCTCCTTGGACACAGCTTGCACCGCCTTTCCCAACGGCCAATGCGCCTTGTCCGGAAACCCACTTTCCGTCAGAGGCAGAGATCAAGCTTCGAAACGTCCTGGGCATCCTCAAGAAGAACGAAACGGAACTTCCACCGGAAGTCTCAGAAATGGTGAAGGACACCAAGCTCACCGAAGGGCTCAGCACCATCAAGAACATGCACGACGCAGTCGAGAATCTAGGAGTTGCCCAGCAATCCTTCGAAAAAGCTTGTTTTGCTCGAGCCCAGAACCTAGCTTCATGGAGGCAATTCCTGCACCTCTCTCTGCAACGTTGGCAAGAATACACCCAACACTTTCTCTCGCAGGAGAAATACAACATGGAGCAGATTGCAACTGCCCGAGAGGCGGTTCAGAGCGCACAAGCCATCTTCAAGAACCTGCAGGAGAAGGGTGTCATCACCATAGATGCAGAAGAGGATCCGGCCATGATGGAAGAGGAACCCATGAAGACGGAGAGTTCAAGGCGTATCCAAGAAGGTTTAGAGCACATGACCACCTCCTTGGAACAGCTGGCGAATCAGGCCGACAAGGAACATGCAGAAGAACAGCAGCTGAAAAAGAGAGCTCGCAAGGAGCCACCAGACGACACAGGAACTTCGTTGCCTACTGTCGCACCATCCTCAGCTTCTGCTGCCTTAGGCTCCAAGGCTATGGAGCCTTTTGCCAAGGCTCACAGCGGATGACAGACATGTATCCCTGTGGACAGCCGGCTGTTTCCAGCTGTCTCATTGACCCTGGATTGGGTTGGAGACACACAATTGTGAATGAACCCAACTTTACCTCGCCATGGGAGGGCTCCTCAGTGGCTCTGGATCTTTCCTTTCAGTTGGGCACCTTAGGTGATATGGCAGATGTGGGATGCTGCCACAATCTCATTGCATCCAGGAGTTCCAAACCTGATAATTCATCTTCGACTTCGAGAAGAAGCGTACATTTTTGCGACTCTGTCGATATTCTTTTTGGCACAGAGGACACATTGACCATGTACACCACCACCGTGATGCATGATTCCTTTTGCGAAGCCCACGCGAAGCCGTGGGGATGGTTTCACTGCCCGGATGTGTGGAGTTATGATTTTGATGATGATTGCTACCGCGCTTTGCGGTTGAATCGCAATGCCTTGGATCCGCTGTCTTTGCAGGCCGTGTCGATCCGGCATTTGCCCCTTCACAACATGTTGCGTCTGAGTGACGCTTGGCACCAGCCATTACCTCCTGACATGCGTAGCACGGAGGAGCAGCCTGAGGAAGGCGATGAGGACTTCATACCGGATCCTGTGAGAGCGCCTCAATTCGTCAGAGACCTTTTGGCTCTTGCTGAACAACATCGTATCTTCAATCAATTGGATGGTGCTGGTATTCTTCGTGTGCGTACATGGTATCTTCACCATCAAGATGATCGACGATGTTTGCATCCACGAATCCTGGAGTATGATGCTGACTGGCGACACTGGGAGATTGAACTTGGCTCTGCATGGAGAACCCACATTCGACCTAATGAGGAGATTCAGATCCATGTTGCAGCGCCAGACCCTTACCGTGGCTACATGTCGAGGCCAGCCCAGGCTGATCTTATCATTTCGCAAGGACATTGGCTCCCACACTTCTCCACTATCACCACAGTGCACAGGACAAGCCGCCTACATGCACCACTTTCCTATGCCTTAGCCTGCTCCCTGGAGCGGCGTGTCAGTGGAGTAAGACTTGCGGATGAGGCTGATGTTCTTACAACCTGGAATCAGGCTCGTACCAGATGCTCTATTTCACATGGGTGGAACCGCATTCCGTTCACATTGAGGCCTGCGCATGAGGTTTTTGCTGGTCATGCCTTTGTCATTCAAGTCAGCGACATTGAACCTCTTGGTGAACCTGCACGTGCACCACCTAGCCCACCTCATGCTGACGCTTGCAGGGACAGAGACAGCCAACCTTCACATGACTTTGATATGCAAGAAGGGCACTTTGATGAGGATGCTGACCAACACATTGAACCTGCTGCTTCACCATCGGCCAGTAGTTTGCACAGTGATGATCTCAGTGTGCTTGTTTTTCGACTCTCTGCACCAGAAGCGCATGGATTCACACAAGGCAACAGCTACATGGCTATCTTGAGTGCCGCTATTAGAGCATGCAGATTGCCGCGCAGCACTGTTCGTGGGTTTCACAGACTCATTTCTCCTCCGGTTGACATTCTCCCAGACCAAGAGATTGCAATCATCTTGCAGACTGTGGATGATGTTGCTCCCGGCTCGGAAGAGAAGCTTGTCCTTGTTGACATTGAGATACACTTTCACCCGAACAATGATGGCCATGTGGTACCTGCAGCAAGCAGCAGAAGAGTCTTGAAAGTCAACCCACATTTGCATCGTGAACAGCTCTTGTTGTTGTGCGGCCTGAGAGACTATTGCCAGCTTGAGCAAGACCGCTGCATTGTTCATCGTAACCATCAGCTCTGGCCTGCTTCCGACCGAAGAGTTGTTACCATTAGCCATGGTACTTACTTGCGAGTGCGGGTGCCTCCACCGCATGACAACTCCCTTGACACGGAAGTGGCCATTGAGATTGCGCGGGATTTTGGCAGTGATGCTCTCTCCGCTGTACACTGCAGTTCTGCCGGTGCACACTCTATCTCATTGCGACAGACACATGTCACAGCTCAAACTTGTTCACGTCCAACCAGCCACAAGTCAGATCCAAACCAGGGGGATGATCTTGCATCCCAACCACCCCCTAGGCCACGGATTCAAAGAGCTCCGGCGCCACCTACTTCACTCAACAGGTTTGGCCCTGGCGTCCAAAATCAATTGGAGGCTCTCCTTCATCAAGCTGACCTGGTGGAATGCGAAGAAGAGGGGCGCATTATGTATGTAACCACTTGGTACATTCACCACAGAAGGGCTCCGAGATGCTATGATGGAAGACCAGCACGGCTCACTGAGGATTCATCTGACTGGGTTGAACAAATTATTGAGCCTTGGACGGATTTGATTGATGAAACAATTGCTGCTACCATCCGTATTGTGAGATCCACACCACCTTGCAATCGATGGGAATGCGTTCAGGCTCACTTGATCATTGAGCAAGACACACTGCCCAGACAAGTTGTTTGCCTGATAAGCCATTTTGATTGGCGATACAGTGAACAAGGATGGGTGCATCGAGCTCTGTCGATTGACAACTTTCAGAATGTGCGTAGCCTACTCAGAGCTGCTGAGCTCCACACAATGTGCCAGACTGTTACCTGCAACGTGCAAGCTAGAGGACTTCCGTTTGCGATGGTTGACTTTGAGGAGATCGGCAACGCATGGGGCTTCGTGATCTACATTGCCAGACCACCATTCACCAACCATCCTAGTGATGCCAACAGTCTGATGCAAAGGGCTCCTGTTTCCCATGGCTTGGAGTTTCAGCCTCATGCTGGCGAAGGTCGTTGTTTTGATTTCGACCCACTTGCTCCGTCATTCATTCCCAATCAAGCTGACATCTGGGGCCTCCCTGAAGATATCCATGACCTACATGATGTTTGGCGCACTGGAGCACAAGTTGATGCGAATGAGGCGCCTGCTGCACACTTTCTTGTGTGGTTCCTTTGCCCTGGGGGAGGTCTGCGTCGATGTCTTCGACCCAGAAGAGTCACGCTCTCTGATGACTTCACCGAATGGAGAGAACGCCTGATCTTTGCGTGGAGAGAACACATTTTTGAGACTGTGCCTGTTGAAATCCATGTGATTGCGCCCGCACCGCATCCCCTGGAAACTGGCATCACTGCTCATATTTTGCTGACCCAGTTAATTCCTGACCATGAATCTTGTGTTCTCCTTGGCATCTCCGACAATGCCATCAATGACGCACAGCCTTTTCGGGTTGCTCTCACTGTTCAGGACCCAGCCAACATGCACACCTTTCTTGGCGTTGCTGGTTACCTTTTTGAACAAGCTACCTTTGCACTTCAGTATCATATGAGGCCAATTGCACCTGGCCAACTGACCCCAACCCGCACTGGCAATTACTTTGAGTTACAAGTCCACCGCACCATGTTGCCAGCACACTGGACGCCGCCTATCACACCGGACGTTCCCGGTGCCGAAGGCCTGGGACTTCTTCAAACGAAAGCCACTTTGCTTAAAAAGGTCACTTGCGAGCGCCTAACACATGGGCAGGTGGCTCATACCCATGGGCCGCAAGTCGAGCAGGAGGGACCTGTCTCATCAGCTGATGAACCTGTTACGCTCCTGCTGGATGAGATGCTCACCACAGCCATTGAGATTCTCTCCGGTTCTCCCGAAGTACAACTTCCATCATTCATTGAAGTGCCAGTTGCATTTGAGGAGTGGCACATTGAGCAGGAGTTGAACGCTTTTGGTCATGATTGCAAAGCCTATACCTTTGGATCACACCGCAAAGCATTTTGCATCCCAAGGCAGCTTCTTCCATCTCAGCCTAGTTGGCATGTTCTTTTTGCGCATGTGGATCCATGTGTTGTGACTGGAACCTTCGTTCACACCTTTTCGGCCAAGTGGGACGAGATTCAGCTCATGAAGGTATTACATCAGCTTGGCTTTGAAAAAGCCTTCATCCTTGCCATCGAGCCCAAAGATCTGGCATTTACACTTGTCACCTTCGGTGAATCGCATGGCTCACTTGCTCATGTCGAGAAGCAGAGACCATCTCGACCGTGGCCACCCAGGCAGAAGCGCTTCCCATGTATTGTTCAAGCCTCCCGAGACATGGACTCCTGACTGCCTATTAAATTTGGGACTTGGTGACCAAGACATCCGTGCCTTTTTCACCCCACAGCCAGATGTTCTTTGTGCCTCCCTTGAAGGAATTGAACTTCCGCAGGTCACAGTCCATGCGCTTGCGGCTCTGGACACCACGTGTCCTCTGGAAGCAATTGATCGCCTGATCATCTACGTTGATGGCTCCTCTCAGCCGAACCAGAAACATCTGCCACCATTGCGTGTAGATGCTGAAGGCATCCCTGACGCGTGGGCCTTCCTGGTGATTGGCGAAAAGTATGTCTCGAATGATCAGTCGACCTTCCACCTTCTTGGTTGGCATGCGCAGCAAGTCAGATATGATCCTGCTAGCCCAAATTTTGCGGGCGCACTCAAGGTGAACTCACACATTGCGGAGCGAGAAGGTCTATTCTTCGCAGCACTTTGGCGAGCCAAATTGAATTGCAACTTACCAACTGTCTTCCGCAGTGACTCCAAGTTGACCTGTGGACAAGCCACAGGGTCCATCGGAGCAGCTGAAATTGACCTTTCGTATTCACTGCTCCGTGGGATTTTCCAGTTTCTTGAAACAGCAATGGATAGAAATGACTTGCTTGTTGAACATATCTATGGTCACAACAACGATCCTTGGAATGAAGCGGTTGACACTCTCGCCAAAAATGAGGCTCAACGTAGTTATTTCTTGCCTCGCATCGACGTGGATTTGAACAAATGGGGTACTGCCATTCCGTTTCTATGGATGTTAGCTGGAGAACGCTTTGGTTGCCCGACTTTTTGTGGTGAAGGTTTTGATGTTCATGCTCCTGATCGGCCTGCCTGCATGCATGACGACATGCTTGTTACAGCCAACCCATCGCCTTCCACTACAGTAGCAAACAGCGCTTCCCCCATCGAATTCCGAATCAGTCTTGCAACGGGTAATGTTTCAACCCTAGGTGTGGGTGCAAGAGGCCTAGCTGGGAAGCTTGACTATCTCAAGGACCAATTCAAAGGATTTCACTTGAACTTTCTTGGTGTCCAAGAGGCGCGTACCAAAGAAGGCACCTTGAACGCACAGGACATCCTCAGGTTTTGCTCTGGTGCTGATTCCAAAAACCTTGGAGTGGAACTTTGGTGCAATCTTGCACAACCTTTTGCATTTGCAAACCACCGACCGCATTTCTTTCAAGCCAGTGATTTGTTGTACTACATCGAGACCCACGGAGATTGCTCGTTGTGGTCCAGAATGCGCTGTGGCATGCTCACATCCTTGTGGGTCATGCACCACACAGTGGTTATGCTCTTGCGGAACGTGCAATTATGGTGGGATGACACTGCGGCCATCGTTGACTCTTACAACATTGAACTGAGACCTTTGTTTGTCCTCATCGATGCAAATGCGTCGCCTGGACCCTGTGACCACCATACAGTTTTGGGACCTGGCTATTCAGCCAGTAGTAGCACCACGCTATGGCGCCAATTTCTGACTGATCATGAGCTCTGTCTTCCGGCTACAAGTGCGCTCCATGTTGGGCCACAATATACATGGACTGCTCCAGACGGTGTTGACAAGCACTTCATCGATTTTGTCGCCATTCCTCAGAAGTTCCTTTCATCGTGTACATGGACACAAACTTTGGAGCAGTTTGACCTCAACCCCCTGCATGAAGATCATTTGGCAGTTGGCCTTGAGTTAGCCTGGGATATTAATGACCTTGTGACTACTCCTTGTTCTGTCACGACAGCATGGACTTGCAATCGAAATGCAATTGCACGAGCCTCGCTTGATGCACCGCTTTCTCTACCGCAGGATCTTTGCTGTTCATCTCTGAGGAATTGTGGCTTTTACGCAAGAGAAAGTTCCACTTGCGCAGACGCCTTCGTCTGACGCAACGCACCACTTCCTTGGAAAGGGTCGCACGTTTCTTTACAGGATGGCGTTCTCAAGCTGGTGGACAAGTGGAGCATCTTCCTGCACTTATTGATGGATCGCTCAGCTTTGAAGTTTCATTACGGTGTTCAGAAGTCCTGCGTGCAGCTGAACTTTGGGCCACTTGCCGCACTCTTAAGCACAAATTGAGTGTGGCCAAAAAAGAGACACTGGCGGCCAAGATTGAAGAGCTCTCTCACCTGAACTCTGCATCAGACATCCTTTGCACTCTTAAACCTTTCGTTGGGTCGTCAAATGCCCTCAAGAAAGGACCGAAACCCTTGCCGCTTGTCCACAATGAAGAGGGACAACCTTGTGGTTCCAGTGCTGAGGCTTTGGATCGCTGGATTTCGTTTTTCATGTGCATGGAAGGTGGAAGCAGAGTTGACCAACCAAATCAAAGGGCAATGTGGATCAACAACCTCCAGGAGTTTGCTACCAACAATTTGGAAGTCAATGTCCATGAAGTCCCCTCTCTTGTGGAATTGGAGACGGCTTTCAGACGTGTTAAGAAGGGCAAAGCATGTGGCCCTGACTTCCTGCCCTCAGAGCTCTTTCATTACTTTCCAGCAGTGATCGCCAAGCAATGTTATGCCACACTGCTGAAAGTTGCTCTTCAAGGTCAGGAGTGCCTCCTGCATAAAGGGGGCACTCTAGTGCCTCTGTGGAAAGGCAAAGGTGACAAAAGCAGTTGCTCCTCATTCCGAAGCATCCTGTTGAGTTCTCATTTTGGGAAAACGCTGCACAGAGCATTGCGCCTGAAGCAAGCCCATCTCTATGAGTCCTACATGCATGCACAGCAGCTGGGAGGCCGCAGGCGCACAGCGGTCACCCTGGGCACCCACCTTGCCAGAGCCTTCATGAGATTTCACAAATCCCAAGGCAGACCAACTGCTCTTCTTTTCCTTGATTTGATGGAAGCTTTCTACAGGGTCATCAGACCGCTGGCATTATCTGGCACGCTCGATGATGAGGTTTTGGCGACCATGGCTGCTAGGCTGAGGCTTGACCATGACACCCTCGAGGAGTTGCAGCGCCTGTTGACGCAGCCGGGAGCCATTGAAGATGCTGGCCTTCCGCCTCACTCTCAAAGAGCTCTGCGTGCCATTCATGCAGACACGCACTTTGCCCTGAGGGGCCAACATGACTGCTGCAGAACCACCTTAGGCAGCCGACCAGGCGATGCATTTGCGGATGTAGTGTTTGGTTACTTTTGGGCCAAGATCCTCCACAAGCTACAGGCTTGCCTTCAAGAACATGACCTATGCGAGTTTGTGAATGACGAACATGGCCCAAATTGGTTTGGACAAGTTCCACCACATGCAGCAGTGCCACAGCCCTTCCTTGGACCATGTTGGTGTGATGACCTCTGTATTTGCATGAGTGCTAGCAATCTGCATGCGCTTTCGCACAAGGCTGCAGTCACTTCCAGTGTCCTGCTCGATCTCTGCAAAGTGCATGGCATGACTCCGAATCTCAGCAAGGGCAAGACTGAACTGATGTTCTCTATGAGAGGAAGAGGTCAACGAGCCTTTCGTCGCTGTTGGTTTGGCCCTCAAGCTCCCAGACTTTTTCCAATCCTGGGGGACACGGGCTTCTATCAGATTCCCTTGGTTGGAGCTTATCGCCATCTGGGAGGCACTTTGCACCACTCTGGCGATCTCAAATGTGAAATCAGACGAAGAATCGGCATTGCGCATCAGACATTCTCAGAACACCGCAGATTGCTCTTTCAAAACAAAGCGATTTCCTTGAAGAAGCGTGTGGAGTTATTTCGTTGCTTAGTCCTCAGCAAAATGCTTTACGGCACCGACTCTTGGGTCATCAGCGACCAGAAGACCAAGAGCCTGTTACATGCAGCCATCATGAAGCTGTACAAACGCTTACTTGGAGCAAAACATGAGGACAAGCTCAACGATGACTCCATCCTCACTGCCACAGGACTCTCAAGCCCCAGTGAACTTCTTCGGATCTCACGTTTGCGATATGTGAGGACGCTTTTCGCAGCTGCTGATGTTGTTTCGTGGGGACTCCTCAACATTGACTCTGAATGGAAGGCGCTGATTGAGGATGACTTCCTTTGGATGCATAACCAGCTCAAGAATTCCAGCCCTTTGAAAGACCCTACGCAGCACTTTGCGCAATGGCTTGACATCATCCGGCATCAGCCGGGATACTGGAAGCGACTCACCAAGAGAGCCATGAAACATGCCATTGGGCAGCGTGTTAAACATTTCAAGGTTCTACAAGCGCATCTGGACATTTTTGCTCTTCTTAAAGATCATGGCCATTATGTTCCGTTGCAGATTGCACAGAAGGACGTTGCCCAGGAAGTTTATGGGTGCATGCAGTGTGGCATTGCGTGCCGGAGCAAAGCAGGTGAAGGAGCCCACATGTTCCGCACTCATGGACTGATGCATCCTGTGAGACACCTTTTCCAGACCACCCAGTGCGCAATTTGCCTCACTGAGTATTTTACCTTTGGCAAACTCAAGATGCATTTGATCCGTAATGAAGGTTGCAGACGAATGTGGCATGGGCTTCGCGCTTTCAATATCCCTATGCCAGGTCTTGGGTCCCTAGCCGATGAAGCTTTGCATCAACAGGAAGATGGACTGTTGCCACCGCTTCGTGCTGAGGGGCCACACCGTGACTTCCAGCGAGGCAGTGATTTTGACTTGTTTGACGAGAATCTTTTTGAGGAACTTGCTCTTCTTATTCTCCATGCAACTGACTTGGATGAGCTGCGAGCCGAATTGCATGGTTGTATTCAACAGAAACCTATCTCATGGACGAAATGCTGTGCCACTCTAGCTGAACTTCAACGCAATCTGGACGCCGAAGCACAAGATCTTGGAGCCTTGCCGTGGCGTGATGTCAGCAATCTGATCAGGTGCTGTCAACAACCAGATGAGTGGCCATTCCTTTTGGTTGGAAGGGTTGAGTTTAGCGAGCACTTTGGTGACATTGCACATATTGAGGCTGCTTGTGGTGACATTCGTTTGGACCCAGCTGCCTTCGACATCCCTCGTGTTTGGGGCAAACATCGCATTGTCTTGCATGCGTTTGCAGGTCGCAGACGTCCTGGTGACTTCCAATTTTATCTTGATCGCCTACTAGCCACCTGTGCTGATGGAGTTCTCATCCATGCTGTGTCCATGGATATCATCTATGATAGCACTCTTGGAGACGCCTCCAGCAGATCGACTCAGCAATTTTGGTTTAAGGGCATTGATCAGGGTTGGGTTGTTGGTTTCATTGGTGGACCCCCTTGTGAAACTTGGAGCAAAGCTCGGGGAGTTGAAGTCTTAGGGGACCACACCCGTAAAGGGCCTCGCATCATCAGAACTGCTTCGGAGCTCTGGGGTTTTGATGCTTTGGGCCTCAAAGAACTGGAGCAAGTTTCCATGGGCAACGAGCTGCTGCTGTTCTCACTGGTTTGCATTTTCCGTTTGGCCCTGAGGGGTGGGGTAGCCATTTTGGAGCATCCGGCCGAACCCGATGCCGAAGATGCAGCCTCGATCTGGCGCTTGCAGATTGTCATTTTGCTCACACACCTACCAGGTGTTGAAGTCCTTCATGTGCTGCAAGGACATTTTGGCGCTCCTTCACCGAAACCCACTCACCTGCTCAGCCTGAACCTGCCTGGTCTCCCTGCTGCGTTGCGTGAGTGCGCTGTTTGTGAACAGCCTCCAAAACGGAGTGCCATAGGACTGCAGACTGATGGGCAATGGGCGACAGCCAAACTCAAAGAGTACCCACCAGCCCTTTGTTTTGCATTTGCCAAGTGTTTTTACACCCATTTGCGCTCTGTTCGTATTGACGATAGCGCTGCACAGGCTGAGGATTTCTTGTCACAGTGTAAGACCCTTCTTGTTCAAGACTTTTCGGTCCACTATGGCAAAGATTTCGCTGGGTGACACTTGATGTGATTGAATTCATTCACTGCTTGGGCCGCAGCGATCTGCTACTTCGTGCCGACACAGCCCAAAAAAAAAATATATAGACATACAGGAATATACAGGCACCACCTTTTAGACTACTACCCAGCTTCACATGGGTAACGACTATGTAATCCATTTGAAATCATATCTGGTTTCTTCAACTACACTAAGCGGTTGGTTTTATACACACAAAACTTTGCAACTTGAGCCATGAAAATACCCGTAGCCCATGCCATTAAGCTGGTTGGTTAATTTCGGCATAGTGTTACTCTTAATTCTGGAAGATCATAATCCACATCACAAATCAGCTATAGTATAACCATGTATAATCCCCCATCACAAACAATCAACAATGATATAACATCTGGTTATTGAAGCTGTGGAAGCCATAACCCATTGATGAAAAACATGATGATAGCCCCAATATGATAAACGTGTGTTCAAATGGTGATTTTCCATAGCTATGTGACTACACACAAATACCTAGAGTCAATGGCCATGCAACAGGAACCGAATGGTTGGAGGCAGCTACCATTTATTGTTGGCCTATGCAAGAGCTAAATTTCAGGGAATATCCTCACAACATATGGCCAAAAATATGGTACAGTACCTCCATTTTAGGATCCTGAAATTCCCATTGATAGAGGGTACCCTCTGGTAAACTAACAAAAAACTATGGAAAATCACCATGCTATTATGGTCAGTGCCGGAATTATAGAACGGAAGTTGAGGAGGACGAAGGTACGGTTATTTACCGTACCCTGTTGTTCTATAATTATGTTTTCCTCGGAAGGTATGAAAAAAAAATGTATCTGATCTTCCTCCTATTTTTTTTCGTCGTTCTATAATTCTTGTCGGAGCGCTGTTGTTCTATAATTCTGTTTTCCCCCATTTTTCTCACATTTCCCATTTTCGTTCTATAATTAATTTTCCCCGGGCCCCGTTCTATAATTAATTTTATTAAATCCCCATTAAATCCTCATTTTATCCGCGTTTTATTATCATTTCCTCATCAAATCCTCATTTTATCTTCGTTTTATCTTCATTTTATCCTCATTTTCTCATCAAATCCTCATTAAATCCTGATTAAATCCTCATTTTATGTTCATTTTATCTTTATTTTAAATTTATCATCATTTCCTCATCAAATCCTCATTTTATCTTCATTTTACCCTCATTTTATCCTCATTTTATCCTTGTTTCCTCATCAAATCTTCATTTTATCTGCATTTTATCTTCATTTCCTCATCAAATCCTCATTAAATCCTCATTAAATCTTCATTTTATAGATTGTATATGTACAAATATGCAGTAAATATCATGTCAGTGCCAGAAATTATAGAACGGAGCCAGGAGGACAAAAGTACGGTAAAATACCGTACCTTTGTCCTCCTCCCCGTTCTATAATTAAATTTCCCGACTCCGCTCCGAATCGGAACCCGGAGGAGGACAAAGGTACGGTATTTTAGCGTACTTTTGTCCTCCTGGCTCCGTTCTATAATTCTGGCACTGACTGTAATGGGAAAACTCACGATTTCTATGGCCATGGCTCAATAGCTTCTTGTATGTTTACCAGAGGGTAATTCCTACTGTCATTATTATCCATTATTATCCATTATTAACCATTATTGACCATATGATTAATCATTATCAACTATAAAACACCTGAATTATTTCCATGATATCCCCATATATCCGACTAAGCTAGCCATATGTTGGCCCGAAGTTCATAAGTTCCATTGATACAAGGTGGTGCCCCATAGTTAGCTAAGTTGGTTTATAACTACAATAAGTGGGACTTATGGTAGATATATCTATAGTTGATGGGGGTTATAAACCAACTTATAACTGGGGGGCACCATCCTGTAGGGGCTACTTCCCAAATGGCTCAGGCTGAACCGAACCCATGCTGCATCCGTCAGAGGCGCCAAGAACTGCTGCTGCGCGTTGTCACGCCGAGCCTGCAAGACGCCACGCAGGTTCGAGACATCCTGCGATCTCTTCGCCATGGAAAACAACGAGGAACGTGTGGATTTAACGTCACAATTAAACGAGGAACATGTCCAATTTCACTACTATAACAATAAGGAAAAATTCAATTTAACTACCAAAAAAGGCTGATTGATGTGATTTATGCGGGTTGACTCTGATTTAAATGGGTGATTTCTAGTGAAATCTATGGGTTTTTAAACACTTCATGGACAAACATTGGCGGAAATCTCACCTTCATCCATGGAATACGGCCACAGCGAGTCATCATAGAATATCATAGATACCTAGCCCAGCCAATAGCAATGCGGCGATGTTTAATATCAAAGACGGATTCCTTTAAAGCAAACAACACATTATGAAAAAACGATTCAACGAAGGTTTACCCAGAAAAAGAGATATGGACAGGCTGCGAAAAAAGGGTATCATTTACAGTGTCAGATTCGCTACAAGGTGGACCCCCTGTTATAAGTTGGTTTGTAAACCCAAATCTGGTTGGTGGTTGAGCCTACCCCTCTGAAAAATATGAAAGTCAGTTGGGATTATGACTCATGACATTCCCAAGATATGGAAAAATACAAAATGTTCCAAACCACCAACCAGGTATAGTTACAGTTACCATAAACTATAGTTATTATCCTGGTTATCAATTTGGTGGACCCCACCTTCCTCGATTTATATACACACTGCTTGGTCAATTTGAAGGTCCAAAACCGAAGTCGTGAGCCTCAATGACAAGAGGACGTCAATGACACCAGATGTTTTCAACTGGTGTCATCCCCCCCAAATAGAAATGGAAAGCAGAAAACACTCTAGAATACTAACTAGCATATACAAACCATTTGTGCCATGCACATACGCTCCGCCAATCAAACGTGGCAATGGAAAACCCACCATTTATAGATGTTTCTCCCGCATTAACACCTTCATTCATAGAGGATTTTCGATTGTCATGTCTGATTACTGGAGGTTAGATCCCAATTGTTGTTGGTAATTTGTGTAAATCAATGGTAAATCCCTGACAATTCATACAGTTACGGCCGTTAGTAGTTACAAACGGGATTTACAACTCCATCAACTATATAAGTTTAGATGTTCGATATCACCTAATAGGATCTTAAAAAAGGTACTTACAGTTTTTGTGAGGTGAGTTTCGCCAGTTCGGCTATGATCAAACAGGGGTATCCATGGATCATGGCTCCTGCTTGCTGGCACTCGAGCTGGGTAAGGGATCCACAAAGTGCTGGGCGCGTTGCCCTGGGATACCTGGGCTGTTTTTAACCATGAAACATGGGGATTTCATAGGGATTTCACATGATAAACCCTACTTGGGGGGCCAGAAGTTACGTCTTTATGGCGAAAAAACATTGCAACCAAACCATGCTGAACTACAGCCGTATAGCTTGGGATATGGGGCATCTATTTTTCTATGCTGAAATATATCCACTTGTGGCTCGAAGAAACTGTTGTGGCTCGATGGCTCGTAAATGATCGCCAAGTTGGTGAAAATTTTGCCCAGGCCAACAAAAAAGGATTCATGGTCCAAGATCAACTAGTTAGTTGGGGGAACAGCAAACAAAACATATGTCACTGCTTGGGTTTTTTTTCTGGAAGTGTAGTGGATACACAAGCACTGTTTTCTTGGAAATCACCATGGTACCCATGACAATAACCGAAAATTTGCAGCCCCGGCTCGCCGGCCGAGGTGAGAAACTTGGATATACTGGGAATTAATGGTATGTAAAAAAATCACTCCATTCATAATCAGTCATAATGAATCATGAATCTTGAACTGCCATGAATTTAGCATGGAACCCCCTAAAAATGGTTTGGAAGATTTTGTTCCTATTTATCATGGCTATTTGTGGGGTTCCATATCATCACTAATTTATGGGCTGTAAATCATTCCATTCCTTTACACTTAACAAGAACCTTGTAGTAAAACATGGAAAATCACTGTTTTTGTTTTTTTTTCGCAGATTCTCGTGTTTTCTGTTTCACACAAATCAACGCATTAACATTGTATAATATTCTATATCTGGTACATCATGCAGTTGTGATCAGTTGTGCCGCAATTACCCAATGGGAACGCCAGTGGTCAAGCCAACTGCTTTCAATAGCATTCAAAAATGGTCACAGGTGCATCTTACACCTTTGGGTGCAGTGATCCTAGGCAGCAGTTCATACTCTGTAGTACGTAGTCATAACATGTCACAACCTGACTTACCAGCGGGCTCACCTAGCCTTGTAGAATCTGTACCACGTATTTTTAGGGAATATAATATGCCTCACTTACAATATAAGTAGGATGAAGAGTGGCTAGCAAAACTGGTAAACCTCTTGAATAGACAGTTTTATGACTGAGCGACTGATGCAAGTTCTAATATGTGATGGTGGTTACAACATGTCACGACCCATTAGATGTACCAGACATACCAGCCAACTCTTGTTTCATCATGCAGAATAGGGATAGAACAAAACAATGCCTGAGTTTCCTGACCGATTTCTATCAACCTGTGCTTGGATTGCTTGGGACGCAATAACCAGATGAGTGCATTTGCACATTGGTTGGACGCAACTGAACTAAAATGAGACCTTTACCTTTACCTCTTTTTGCAAACATCATTCCACACAACAAACATCACACACCTTTAAACAAATCCAGCGGAAAAACCACAAAAATTTCCCACAATCCCAGTGAACAGCAGGCCATTCATATAGTTTCCAGGTCAGGGAGCATTCCAGTTCCAAGATTTTGTTGGTTAGTACCCTCTGGTAAACTAACGCAACTATGGAAAGATCCACCATGCTATTAATGGGTAAATCCACTATAAATCACCATATATAATAGCTATGTTAAATTACCAGAGGGTAGATATTCCAACAATTCCATGATTGAAATCGCGATGAACGGATTGTCCAAGCCTGGCTGGCTTCGAAAAAAAATCCATCCACTTGGTTGACCAAATTGGTGATCGAAACACCGAGTCGACTCGGCCAAGACGCAGAAGCGACCATTTGGTCCGAGGTTCTTTCCGGAATACCTCGGAAAACTGAGATGGGCCCGGTGTTCCAGAAGGTTTTCCCGGAGGTGATTTCTATGGGAAAACATGGGAACATGGTGCTTTAACCACATAAATGTGGGAAGATCATGATTTCACCACCAAACATTGGGGATTGATAGTTGAGTTTTTTTGATTTATATCATAGCTTTACAGTATAGCAATCTGGTTGAATATCACAATTCACCAACAGCCTGACACAGATTTTTTGGAGGAGAATGCCCCGTAAAACCAGAATTGCTGCTGATGTCGCAATGTGCTTCGCCCGCAAAATCACACAGATTCTACCCTCTGGTAAACTAACATAGCTATTGAAAATGGCCATTTATAGTGGATTTTCCCATGAAAAATGGTGATTTTCCATAGTTATGTTAGTTTACCAGAGGGTACAACCATTGATCACCCACTCATAATATCACTATATTGAGTTCTTTTGGGGATGTACTAAAGAGTCCAAAACTATATTTCACATACCAACAACCAACAACCTATGTATATAATTGTAAAGCCAACAAGAGTAATTGGTATCATACAGGTATGGTCTTTGTCATAGATGGGATAATAACTCCTCCAACTGAGGTTATATATATATAACTTGAATGGGGTTATGAGAGTTTATAAGCGAGCTATTTTTTTGTTTGGGGCTATAACAGTAACTGATTTATCTGTAACATGACCCGCCTAGCTGTAAGTATCATACAGCGGTGATACATGGACAGCTAGTGAAGGGACCGAGGTTATATAGTATGATAGTGACCATACAGCTAGTGAGCATTAAACATCATAAACAGTAGGTGGTTGGACAGTAGTCCCTGTCCTTCTACACTATTTAATATCAGCTGTCCATCAGCAGCCACACATTCTGAAACATTGGACATATGTGCATATTGACGAATATCCAACTGCTCAGGAACCAGTTTTCAAGGGCAAACACAAACCTTTACTGCCACCAACATTCGACCGCTAAGGAACCACATTTTCAAGCGCAAACACTGCCCTGCTAAAACCCCAAGTATCGAAGTATCTCCCCAATGAAGCAATCCAATTACGATAACGCTAGGTACAGTGTGATACAAACCATTGCCAATCAGCCAGATACTGCTGGTGAGTAAGTAGATATTCCCATTCCAAAAGACTATTTTGGATTAACCCATCCAAGATTGACTTAGGTTAATAATGTTAATATGGTTAAATAGCCATAATCAACCATTATACTGATCTTGACCTAGAAAATGACCATCAGATGTTGAAAGCATAAAGAAATGATCAACATTTTACTGATGAATATATCATCAATCCAGGTCTGCCCATTAAAGATCTTCTACAGGATCTTCAAAAAACTCACTCCAACTACTCGGATCCAAGTCTATCCAAGTGACGTTCATGCACTTGGATATGGATGGTGAAAAACATGGAATATATGTATTCATATACAATATAAACATATATATATATATACCATGAAATGACATCAATTTTTCTTTGCCAACGCTTTCGGAAAGTCCAGGGGACATCATGTTGTGCCAAACACATTCGTCTTGTCCATCATCGGCCTGGAAGTACAACGAATGGCAAATCCCTGAACTAACTATTGGTGGATTTTCTAGCAAGCCATGTTTGATTACCAGAGGGTAAATAGACGTAAATAGCAATATATATATATATGTATATATATATAATATATGCCTGTTATTTCTGGATAAGTTGTCTTAGCTCACTAATCTCTAAAGTAACACTTACAGTAGGGATTCCCTACCGTAGTATCGATTCAGCAGGCTGCTTCGTTAGCGCTTAAGGATCCCGTAGTTAAAATGTCACCGTATTGGGTATTACCCATGACGGATCCGGCTGGTGCTGCTATATTAATGCTAACATGACTGGGGTATATTGATGGGATCCATGTTAGCCCATGGATCCGTCATGGCTTATAGAATGGCTCAGATGGAATGTCCCGGGCTTGAATAATCAATACATTCGGTTCTTGTACACTGGCTGAAGTCTCCAACTTTTGAAGTTTCCTTTGCACCGCCAAGTCCAAAGGATCCAAATGCATCGTTTCCCATATATGTTTCAGAAAATGTGCCGCAAGTATATGGTATATGGTTATCTCTTCACAAAGCCAAATGATCCCTCTGGTAAACGAACGTTTACATAACGAACTGGAATATCACCATGCTATTAATGGGAAAACTCACTATTCCTATGGCCATGGCTTCAATAGCTTTTTGTATGTTTACCAGGCCGGGTAACCCGAATCCATTTTTTCTCCGGCATTGTGACAGTCAGGTCCTGCGACTCTGATGATATAAACGTGCAGGTCTTAGACAAATCTGGATTGGAAGCACCCTGTTTTTTTTGTGCGTCAAACACATCCCTGTTCAGCAAACCAAATACATCAGTACATCCCATTATTAATGGCTTTTTCCTAATATAATATAGATCCTAATATAGTATATCCCATTAATTACTGCTTGGTGGTTTTACCCTCTGGTAATTTAACATAACTATGGAAAATCACCATTTTTAATGGGTAAATCCACTAATCATGGTCATTTTCAATAGCTATTTTGACATAACCAGAGGGTAACCATCTTGAAAAATCAGAAGGACTTCGTCGTTCTGGGGTGGCTTGGGATTCTCCGATGATCCCATGGTTTGGAACCAACCAGATTTCTATGTGTTTGATGGGGAAATCGATCGAAAAATCACAGGCAAATCAAAGATATGTGTATTCTCTTGCCATTGGCTTAACCTACACTAATGGCATTGACATCTGTGGGTCTTTTCCGATTCAAGCGGATCTCCTTGCCCATATTCATCCATTCCATCAATTCCATCCATTCCATGTTCTTCCAGCACCCGCTCTGCAATCATCTGTCGCAACAAAAGACCCCAGGTCTAACCAATCATCATGATCAAATATATCGAGGAGTTGAGCCCACTATGCACATTCACTCATGTTTCATGGCCGCCAGCGGCACCTCCCAAATGGCATATGGTTCCAAGCAAAAGGTGTGCAAAGCCATAATCAGTTGAGCCTCAGCTTGCCACGGCGGAAGGGCGGGTGGAAAGGTCATCGTTTTCAGCTCAATGGATGGTAGAATCAACAAATGAAAAAAAAAGGCAATGTTCATCGAAATAAAGTTGATGGGATATGTCACGTGATACCCTCTGGTAAACTAACATAACTATAGAAAATCACCTTTTTTAATGGGAAAACTCACTATTTCTATGGCCATTTTCCATAGCTATGTTAGTTTACCAGATGGTAATGATTAGTTCATGATATTTCAACACAATACCCAAATCTCATTGACTGGTTGGCAGCTGAGAGCCACACATCCCGATTTCGGAAGGTCATAGGGCGCAGTTGTGGTGCGAAATACCAGCTCTATGAGTTATAAGTCAGTGAAATAAGCCCATGTATGGAATGATAACCCCACAGAAATAACCATGCAAAAACAACTATAGTGGTAAATAAGGCTTATCTGTGGAAAATAAGAAGCATCTTTGAATACCATTTTTGTAAAGCCTATTTATGGAATGATAATCTTTGCAATAAAGGGCTTAATCTGTGGAAAAATAAGAACCATTTGGCAGTGTGTCAAAACCTTGTACCCCTGGTGAACATCAAAATAGCTGGTAAATGGATGTTCATCCCCCTAAAAATGGTATTAATAGGTATTGATCCATACCCATTTTTGAAACCACCAATCATCCAAAATCAGTGGTAGAGTCCCGTGGACACCCCAGATGTGCAGCTCGAGCAACGCGGAGGCAGAGGGTCCTCTCCGCCTGATGTCTGAAGATGGGAAGCAAAATGCTAACGGCATGAAATTGCCTGCTGTTACTTGGAGGGTCAATTCCACATAGTCATATCATATCATAGTCATATCCCATAGTCATAGTCATATCATGTCATAGTCATATCATATCATATCATAGTCATAAGTGGTGAGTAACCATAGTCATATCATGTCATATCCCATTTATAGATGGGATAACCCACGAAATCGGGACCCGATTTCGAATTTATCTAGTAGGGTCATCAACCACTTTCTAAGTGGGATGATCCAAGTAAAGCCCTTTATGATCTTTATGAGTTATGACATATGGTTATTTCAATGGGGTGAAATACATTCCATAAATGGGGTGACTTCCAAACGTATAATGGGTCTTTCGGGCCATAACTGTAGCTTTTCCTAGATTTTTGTTGAGACCCAAGAATGCAATGCTACAAATTACCCGCTGGTAATTTAATAGTTTGCGAAATGGAAAACAGTTACTTTCAATTACGAGAGGGTAGTAGTATGTTTTATTGCCAACGATGGACTTTTTGACAATTCGATATGGTCACTGGCCATTTCAGGAACCTAAATTGAAGGTACCTACCATATATAAGGCCTATTTTTTAGGCCTAAATTTCAGGGAATATCCCCACAATTCATATGGCCAAACATATGGTACTTACTAACGTACCTCCATGTGTTGGATCCTGAAGATCTCCCATTGATATGTTGGCATGGCAACGGTGAGTCGGTGGAATTCTTAGTGTTGACATTGTTGTTGCCTCCAAATGGAGAGTCCGACTCCACCTGATCATTAATGTGTTCTCGTGAAAACATGGGAAAGATAGCTTAGACATGCCTAGACATATCATACATATACATATTACATACTGAATATATATATATACATATATATATGTGTGTGTGTGTGTGTGCGCGGAGGTTTCCTAAAATAGGGGTACCCCCAAATCATCCATTTTAATCGGATTGTTAACCAACCATATCCAACAATTTTGGGGTACCCCCAATTATGGAACCCCCCAAATAGTGGTAAATAACTATTCCATCTTTCTGGGCATTGCTTTTTGAAATCCAAAGGCAATGTGACCATGCAGGAAGGATCTTTGGCTCACATGGATCATTTCCCATGAATGGATCATTTCCCATGAATGGATATCTCACAAAATACTTCAACAAGACACGGCAGAAATGTGTTGTTCTAGTGAAAAAGGTCACCTCGTTTCATTGCCAATCAGCCAGATAGCCTGCATAAAATGACAAATTCTTTGCTGGTTACCCTCCAGTAAATTAACATAGACCCTGGCAAACAGGGGTTGGAAGATTAGTTTCCACTAAAAATTGGTGATTTTCAGGGTCTATGTTAATTTATCAGAGGGTAGTAGACCTTCCCATTGATATCAAAAGACTATTTTGGATTAATATCTACCCATCTACGATTGACCTAGGTTTCAGCCAAGCAAAACATGTCGAACAACTGGGAACTCGGAACCGCATGTGGTTTGAATCATGACATGTCCCAATCCCCAGAGAGAGCATTGTTTTTTGTGATCTGTGCCATTTTGTTGGCCTAATTTGGTCTGGCCACTAGCCACTTGGGGGTATATCGAATATCAGGAAGAACCATAGACCACAGTTGTACATGACTTATGTAATCACTTGAAGTGGAAATCTATAGATACCCCCAAAAAACAAGGTCAATCACCTCGAATAACGCTACTTCAGGGTTGGCGTCAACCTCCACCAATCCCTATGAATGAGTCATGTTCTTCGCCCCAACTATGCTCAGGGAGGCTTCGCATTCCTCCTAGGAGCACCCCAAATCATCCAGTCGTCACGGATGACCATGACGACTGGAAACTTGAAACAAGCATGGTGACTTGATGAAAACCCATCATTCGATCCCATTATTACAACGATACAATTTGACAATGACTATATATATATACATATATATATATTAACTCACTATGATCCCAATATGATCCCATTGTTATAACGACTAACGATATTACTAACCCTATTTGGCGCCATCAATTCCATGGTGGCTTGGTTTCGTAGCCCGACTGCCCGACTCGGCCTGGACCTCCACTAACTTGGGCAGCAACCTGGAGACCCGTCAGAGCCCCATGTTTCTTGGGATAGAACTGATCTGATTTATAGTGGTTAATATATCTGAAAATATTGGTTGATAGTGGTTAATAGTGGTGATTTAGTTAATATACTGGTTGGTGGTTTTTCGCCTACCCCTCTGAAAAATGATGGAGTGAAAGTCAGTTGGAATGATGAAATTCCCAACTGAATGGAACAATAAGAAACAAACAAATGTTCCAAACCACCAACCAGTGATAATCAGTGATATATGGAGATTTCCTGCAATGGAGGTACCCCCAACAGCCGGATGGTTTATTTCATGGAAAATCCTATTCAAATGGGATGGTTTTGGAGTAGCCCTATTTCAGGAAACCTCCTTTTTGTGGGCCCCCTAGAACGATGGTGAAGATTGGGGAAGTATCTCCACTTATGGAACTGCACTTCCAAGTAATCGCAGTCGTCAGGTGCGTTCACGTCAACAAACACAGTTGTTTGGGGAACCCACTTAAGGAGGTATAACCTGGGTCTGAAAATTGGGTAATTGGGTGTACCTATCCCATAGGATCCATGGTGCTGCTATATATGGTAACATGGATCCCATCAATATACCCCAAATGTTCGCATATATACCAGCACCATGGATCCTATGGGTATACAAATGGTCATTTTGGTAGGAAAACAATACTTCACCATCACTCCTTTTGGCGTTACCGGGTAGCCTTTTTCAGACACCAATCCATGTGGTAAATGAAATGACATGCACCTCCAACTTTGGAGGGTTACCCAGCCCAAATTGGGATGGTCGAGTCGATAGTTATGTAAACGTTTACCAATCTTAAACATGGCCTATTGAACATGGCTCATTTAGTTCGTCGATTTACCAAACTTAAAGATGGTGATTTTCCAGTTCGCAAACTGTGAGTTTACCAAAGGGTAATTCTCACATGATCAGCCAACATGATTGAGCCATAACCATACAGTATGTTGATGTACCCTCTGGTAAATTAACATAACGAACTGGAAAATCACCATTTTTAATGGGAAAATCCACTATAAATGGCCATTTTCCATAGCTTTTTGTTTGACATAACCAGGCCGGGTAAATCCCATTAAAACCACCATTTTGTTGGTTAAACCCCATTAAACCACCAGTAAACCACCATTTTCCTGGCAAAACGTCATCTCTCCTCCCTTCATGTTCTGCCGCTTCCTCTGCCAAGAAACTGTTGGAAGAGACCCGAAGCTTGGGTTGGAGTCAGCAAGACCTAGACGTCTACGCGGCGGAGATTTTGCTCTCAGAATCAAACGTGGTTTGCTGGAAAATCCATGGCAAATCACCATTTTTAATGGGAAATCCATGGAAAATCCCACGGAAAATCCATGAAAATCCAAGATATTTCTAGATGATCTTCACATTTAAAGATTTTTTCCATCTGGTTATGACTAACAGTTCGCCATATGGAAAATCACCATGCTATTAATTTTTGGTACACCTCTATCAATGAACTATTTCTCATGGCTATGTTAGTCATAACCAGAGGGTAGAAGTCTCTTTTCGTAGGCTATTTTCCCGCCAAGTTTGATTGCAGGGTAGCTATCGAAAGGGTGGAGCAGCTGGTGGTGTTTCGAGTACGGTCAACCTCTGGTGATATTGATGCTTATCCCCGTATGATGTGATGGGAGAATCATATCGTGTTGATTCAGAACATTGACACATGACATGCCCAGTCCCGAAATATCCGAAATACATTTTCCTCAGTTTTCCGAAGTTTTCCCATCATTTTCCTAGGTTTTCCAATAATGTTCAAAAGCCACTGTCAGTACATTTTCCACCGACTCGTTGTGTCAGAACGATTCCCAGCTCATGGATGATCCCCAATAGATCACACTCGACCAACCAGGCTGTCTTGCAGCTGCCATGCTAAGCACCTTGTTCTTGAACAAGTAGTTCGCCACGTCTTTGTAGGTGATGCCTCCCGTAAAGGGGCCAAAGGCCAGAAAAAAAAAACACCCGAAGCCAAGATCTTCGGAAAGACCGAGTATTGAATGTATTGACACATAAAAATGAAAATCATTCAGGACATACTTGAATATTAATGTACGTCTATAGAAGACATTGAAACCATCAATTGGGACAGGTTTTTTTTCAGGCCAGGACAGGTCCTGTGGATGGCAAAAAGTTGCGGCTGAATATGCTATAATAGGCGGCCAATGGAGGCAATCCTCCTCAAAACATGCTCAATTTTTTGTAGTCCGCAACAAAATCTCATCTTTTGCTGGTTGGCTGGTGATTTTCCATTGTAACCAAATTAATGATTAGTTTCTACCTATCCAGTCAGTTGGGCAGGAAAAGCCATGAAGGACTTGGGTGCAGGCGAGGGTTGCAATAAATGGCTAGACTATGGTAACAAATCACCATCAGTTGGGGATATAATTAACATTAATTAACCCCTATCACTATCACTATGGTGAAATATATCCAATTACATATATATATATATCCACCTATTAGTTCCTATTACTGGAACTGCACCCCCAGGGAGGGATATGTAATTTTACCCCAAATGAGAAAAAACAAAACATATTGCAATCTTGATGGGAGAAGTGATGAAGCACGGGATTGTCCGCAACCAGTTTTAAAAACTTTTAAAACAAAGCCAATTTGAAACATGCGGTCAGCATCCTTCTGAAGGGCGACCGCATTACGATTGGATTTGTTCAACCGGACAAACTCAGGGACCACTTTCGAGCACCCAAAAGTCACAGTCTGATCTCCTTGATTCGTGAAAGACTGATCTCAGTTGATTCTGGGTACACCTCTCCGTTTTCTTCTTAGTTGATACTCATTTTTGTTGGTTGTGTTTTGTCATGTTATGTCCCAAAATTTGTGCACCTATATACCACAACGAATATCTGAACTAGTACAGTATATCTCTATCTTTGTTACCCAGATAAGATTCCTATCTTAGTTGCTTAAATGCCCAATTTCTGCTGGTGCAAAACTGACAGCTGGAGCATGTGCTGGTCCAAAAATCAGCTGCCTAACTTAAGGGATCCAGTGGTGTCAGTGAATTCATTTGGCTATGGATCAAAAGCCTGAAAAACCCTTCAAAGAACTGGTTAATAGATCTTTATTTCCCCAGTCATATGGCCATAATCCCAGAAAATTAACACTTCGACCCTGCCAGAACAAAAAAAGTGCAAAAGTGCTTGGAAGATCGGTCACTAAAACTTAGTAGCTTGCTGATTTTCAGGGTCTATGTAAACTGGTTGGTGGTGCAATAACCATCTTGAAAAATCATGGAGTTCGTCAATGGGGTTGGGATGACATCCATTCTTGAATGAAATGGAAAAAAATCATGTTTGAAACCAGCAAGCAGTAAATTTACCAATATTTACAATGTGAGGCCCCCAAGATAGCGTTCAGTTGGTTTATAAGTTGGTGAACATAACTCCAAGTTCACTATGGTTAATGGATGTTAATGGTACGCAAATAACGAACTAGTTACTGGGGCGAATCTAAACCAACGTTCATCACTGGGGGCCCTCACATTTTACCCATATTCCAGGGCCCATCATATTCCATCATTATTTTTTTATGCCATTTCATACAGGATGGTTCCAAAACGGTTCAGGAATCTAAACCGCTGCACATAAGGAACCGAACCGGTCCGGAATCGGAAAAAATCGAATCGTTTGGAATCGAATCGGGTTGAATCGACCAGGATTTTAAGGAACCGGAACACAACAATAATTAAAAATCGAATCAAACATGAATCGGTAGGTTGCTTGAACCGAATCGCCCCGAATCGATTTTCAAGGGGAACCGAATCGACGGGAATCGAGGCCATGCATACCCGGGATCATATATATATATATATATCTTGGATGTTTGTATTGGATTGAGCCACGCAAGTGCTTGAGATAATTATTGCACAAGCCCGCCACCCGCCATTTTCCGTCACGGCCCTTTTCCGTCTCTACATCAGCGGATCCCTCCATAGCCTGGATCTTCGTCCTGGCGCGGCCAAGATAAAGTAACGGTTAAATTACATGATCTGGTATGTGAAGACAATTCGAAAATACGAACGATGAGGAATTTAATCTCAATCTATTGGGAAATGAAACCTATTTTGCTACAACAAGAATACTGTAATTTGAACAATAATGTCCACAAGGCGAATTGAACTATTATATGACTATGAAGGTACGGACGATTGGCTATGAACCCTGGAAAATCCAAGGGCCATCATGATTTCCATCTAAATATATCTCTTTCCACCACCAAGTCACGTTTGTAGATTTTAACAGGTTTCAGACTAGTTTCAAAGCAGTTTCAGACCCCTAGAAGGGACAGGTTTGAGGTGTAGGTATGTAGCTAGGTAGCTAGGTAGATATGTAGGTAGGTATCTATGTACCTATGGATGTATATATGTAAATAGATATGTCTGTATGTATGTATATAACCAATCCTACTATAGAATTCTGTCCACGTAATACAACTGAATCGTATCATGTTGAGCCTATTGTATTCCGGACGATTAGCTACGAACCGATGCCTGCAGATTATGATTTACGTCTTTCAGTCCTAAGCGGGCGATTGCATCACCATTATGGCCAACATTTGTGTTACCTGCCCTCGAACACCAAGGGCCAAAAGCTACCATCGGTAAAATTATGTAAACTTGCAACCCATATGATCTATATATCTGGTAGGCAATGGCACGTACCAACGGACATCCTTGTTATTGTCCGCTTCGGATCTTTGTTATGCCTCCTCTGCGAGCCGCCAACTACGCTAGCGAGCGCACCTGCACTGTGCACCAAGTGTTGGTGGCGAGTCAGAAGGAAGGAGGCGATCCAGGTACCTACCCGGCTGCTTTGCTGGTTGCTGCCTTGACCCCAAAGTGACCATTGGCAGTAAACATATATATACATATATATTTTGTTGGGAATCAGTTATAAGAATGTACAAGTGGAAGTCCTGAACTCATCGAATTATTAGGAGCGTTACTCTAAAAAGTAGTGTATAAATATGTAGGTGTTAACCATTGAATCACCTTGCCGGTCTGTAGATAAGCTTTAAACTGTGTATCTACCACAATTGGTGTAGAATCATCGGTGAAACTGAAAGCGTGTGGTGCCACAAGAAAATAGTTTGAAACAGGTTTGAAACTAGTTTGAACCCCGGAAATTTTGCTCAATTCCGTCCATCCATCCGACCCACGTCTTCAAAATCCATTCAGGCAAGCCAGCGTGTGAGCCACATTCACTTATACGACATCAGTGGATCAACCAATGATTCTAATCACTTATCATGAACTGCTATCAATCCATCATTCTAAATATGCATCAACCAAATATGCGCTGCTTGCCCTGGAATGCCACGGGCCAAAGGAAGAGAAATAATCATGGTAGATTGGAATTCCATATGTTATTCTGTAGATTGGAATCCCATATGCTACCCATTTGGGGGGTAATGGCAAATGCAAGAAACGCGAAGCTATGGGATGCAATTACTACCCACTTGGGATCTTTGGTATCCATCCTCACCCAAACACCAGCTAGCGAGCGCACCTGCACTGGCACTATGCACCAAGTGTTGGTGGAGAGTTTGAAGGAATGCAGCGATCCAGGTACCTGCACGGCTCCTGGTTGCTTGCTTGACTCGAAAGCTATCATTGGCGGTATATGTAAAAAATGGTTCTCACGATCCCATTCTTCCCCAAATTTGTGTTGCCTGCCCTAGAATGCCAAGGGCCAAAGGAGACACCATCATGCATCCCCTTTCAAAATGTAGACGGAACAGACAGCATGCGGCATCAAGCAAAAGCGTCTGAAACCGGTCTGAAATCAGTCTGAAACCAATCAATCGATCACGCAGTGCACTTTCTTATGGGGGTTTCCAATTATCCAACTCGGATTCGGAAGCTCCATCTATGTTGTTTTTTGGGACTGAAACAGGTCTGAAACTCATTGGAACCACCAGTCCCGCCAGCGATTCGGACCCGTGCTGCTACGTAAGTGTCATGAGTGTTGATACCTAGGCGACATTACTGACCCAGTGCTAATCTCACTAGTACTGATTAATACTCAGATAACCAAAATTCGCGTGTGTCCAAGATGAGCCGTAGATGAGCCGTATACTGGCCGTATACAGCAGAAATGCTGCGTTCTAGTCGGTTCTAAGGCTTCACCAAGATGAGCCGTATACTTGCCGTATAAAGAGCAGAAAAGGTAGTTGAAATCTACCTGAACTCAGCATGTCTGCTGTATACGGCTAGTATACGGCTCATCTTGGTCAAGCCCTAGAACTGACTTGAACTCAGCATTTCTGCTGTATACGGCCAGTATACGGCTCATCTACAGGGCTTGACCAAAATGAGCCGTATAATAGCCGTATACAGCAGATATGCTGAGTTCAAAAGAGTTCCAGAGCTTGACCAAGATGAGCAGTATACCAAATTCGATTCTACACTCATGATGTAGTTGAAATCTACCTGAAACCAATTACATCCGTACCTGGAGCCGCGTTTGCGGATCCCGGTACGGACGCAATTGATTTCCGATGAATATTCTCTTTGTTCTTTGTCAAAGGGATCTATCTCAATGGTTGCCAAACGGATGGATGCTCTCCATGCTTTGCTTTCTAAGTAAGGTTTCAAGGTGATTTCAAACTGTCATACAATTAAAAACTAATTGAAACCAGCTTGCCCATGTGAAACCAGTTTGAAAGCAGTCTGAAACCTTAGAAAGCAGCACTTGCAGAGCATCCGTTTGGGACCTTCTCTGCTGTATACGGCTAGTATACGGCTAGTATACGGCTCATCTCGGTGCAGCCTTAGAACCGACTACAACTCAGACTTTCTGCTGTATACGACCAGTATACGGCTCATCTTGGACACGCGCGAATTTTGGCTAGCTAAGTATTCATCCGTATTAGTGGGATTAGCAATGAGTCAGTAATGTCACCTAAGCTAGTTATCAACACTCATGACACTTACGTAGCAGCACACGGGTCCGAATCGCTGGCGGGACTGGTGGTTCCAATGAGTTTCAGACCTGTTTCAGACCCAAATAACAACCTAGATGGAGCTTCCGAATCCGATTTAAAGGAAATCTACCTGAAACCAATTACGTCCGTACCTGGAGCTGCTGTATACGGCCAGTATACGGCTCATCTACAGGGCTTGACCAAAATGAGCCGTATAATAGCCGTATGCAGCAGATATGCTGCGTTCAAACGAGTTCCAGAGCTTGACCAAGATGAGCAGTATACCAAATTCGATTCTACACTCATGATGTAGTTAAAATCTACCTGAAACCAATTACATCAGTTCCAATTTAACCGAATTACAAACGGCTACATAGCAACCCTGCATAGATACATATATTACGGCTACATAGGAGCTCTAGCTTCCTAGGGTTTCCAAGTGGTTTCAAAGCAGTTTCAATGTTTTTTTCATTTTGGTTTGAATTTAACAATGCTGGTAGATGCAGGTTTGAATTAAAAACGCCTACATACCAAAGCTACATAGATACATACATACACACCTGCATACCTACATGAGTGCAGCCGTAATTCGGTAGTATTGCAATCGTAATTGGATCTGCCGAATTACGATTCCAATTTAACCGAATTAAAAACGCCTACATACCAAAGCTACATAGATACATATACACACCTACAAGTGCAGCCAAAATTCGGCAGTATTGGCATCGTAATTGAATATGCCGAATTGCGATTCCAACTTAACCGAATTGCAAACGGCTACATAGCAACCCTGCATAGATACCTATATTACTACAAACATACATACATACATAAAGCACCTACATACCTACATATGAGCCAGAGCTTCAGAGCTCTAGCTTCCTAGGGTTTCCAAGTGGTTTCAAAGCAGTTTCAATGTTTTTTTTCCTTTTTGGTTCGAATTAAAAAATGCTGGTAGATGCAGGTTTGAGTTAAAAACGCCTACATACCAAAGCTACATAGATACATACATACACACCTACATACCTACATGAGTGCAGCCGCAATTCGGTAGTATTGGAATCGTAATTGGATCTGCCGAATTACGATCACCGGCTAGAAACAAATCAATGGATTCTGCTTGTCGGGGCCGGGTTCGGTCCGGATTCGCTGCAAGAGATCTGTTCGAACTTACTTTCTACCTACTTTCTGCTTGAGATCGCCTACATTGCTGCCCGTTTTCTGCTCAAGAATCTAGGACAAGAGAGATCAGAGGAGGGGTGCTTAACCACGCTCAGTGTGTGTGGAGGTCACATGGCTGCTATTAGAGGTGTTCACCGGCTAGAAACAAATCAATGGATTCTGCTTATCGGGGCCGGATTCGGTCCGGATTCGCTGCAAAAGATCTGTTCGAACTTACTTTCTACCTACTTTCTGCTTGACATCGCCTACATTGCTGCCCGTTTTCTGCTCAAGAATCTAGGACAAGAGAGATCAGAGGAGGGGTGCTTAACCACGCTCACTGTGTGGAGGTCACATGGCTGCTATTAGAGGTGTTCACCGGCTAGAAACAAATCAATGGATTCTGCTTGTCGGGGCCGGATTCGGTCCGGATTCGCTGCAAGAGATCTGTTCGAACTTACTTTCTACCTACTTTCTGCTTGACATCGCCTACATTGCTGCCCGTTTTCTGCTCAAGAATCTAGGACAAGAGAGATCAGAGGAGGGGTGCTTTACTACGCTCACTGTGTGGAGGTCACATGGCTGCTATTAGAGGTGTTCACCGGCTAGAAACAAATCAATGGATTCTGCTTGTCGGGGCCGGATTCGGTCCGGATTCGCTGCAAGCGATCTGTTCGAACTTACTTTCTACCTACTTTCTGCTTGACATCGCCTACATTGCTGCCCGTTTTCTGCTCAAGAATCTAGGACAAGAGAGATCAGAGGAGGGGTGCTTAACCACGCTCACTGTGTGGAGGTCACATGGCTGCTATTAGAGGTGTTCACCGGCTAGAAACAAATCAATGGATTCTGCTTGTCGGGGCCGGATTCGGTCCGGATTCGCTGCAAGAGATCTGTTCGAACTTACTTTCTACCTACTTTCTGCTTGAGATCGCCTACATTGCTGCCCGTTTTCTGCTTAAGAATCTAGGACAAGAGAGATCAGAGGAGGGGTGCTTAACCACGCTCAGTGTGTGGAGGTCACATGGCTGCTATTAGAGGTGTTCACCGGCTAGAAACAAATCAATGGATTCTGCTTGTCGGGGCCGGATTCGGTCCGGATTCGCTGCAAGAGATCTGTTCGAACTTACTTTCTACCTACTTTCTGCTTGAGATCGCCTACATTGCTGCCCGTTTTCTGCTCAAGAATCTAGGACAAGAGAGATCAGAGGAGGGGTGCTTAACCACGCTCACTGTGTGGAGGTCACATGGCTGCTATTAGAGGTGTTCACCGGCTAGAAACAAATCAATGGATTCTGCTTGTCGGGGCCGGATTCGGTCCGGATTCGCTGCAAGCCTCTCAGAATTCTCATGGATGAGGTCCAAGCTGCCCTGGAAATCCAAGGGGCAAGTTCCTTTTTCACCAAGTTGGTTTTCAAAAAAAGCCTTTCACCCAATCGTGCTGCAAACAAATAGACTGACTTAACACAATGGACCATTTTACGAATGTGTCTCTAACTTCTAGATATGTTATACGTGGGCTCATCTCTCACACTGAACTTATCTATATATATAACTGAAAATCTAAGATACGAATATCTATTATGTATATATGTGTATTGTTTCTGGCAACGGCTCCTATATATATACAACACCTGTATACCGGAAAACAAACTTGCATTCCAAACATGTCCCTTCTGAGTGTTTGAAACTGGTATGAAACTCCTCTGAAACCTCATCCGAGGCTTCGATTGTGCCCACTGGGGAGAGGAAAGCCAATCATACAAAAGACTGTTTGTTAGAAATGAACTCACTTTTCCATCACCTTCCATTGTATTCGGGGGGTATTGGGATGTGCATTCGATATTATTGGCATCATAATTAGATTTGTAGAATTACGGCTCCATGTCGCATTCCACATGCCTACGTACGAAGCCTTGAACCCTATGCATCCATATGCAAAAACACATAGATCCATACATGCATCCTATCATACATATGTACCTAAGTACCTACATGCCTACATAGCATAATCTAACCCTTCTGGAGGTCTGAAACTGTGAATTTTGCCCTGGATATCCGAGGTGCATCATAGAAGCTTTGAATTCCACACAAGTTTGCTGGACCGCACATGTTCCCACGCCTGTCAAAGATCCAACGTTCCTAGGGATCGCCGCGGCCCGCCGCCCGAAAAGGCTGCGAGAAGCTGCTTTTGTTTCAGAAATGTAAACACGTATATTTCTATATGAATAAAATGTAAAATTTTATATTTATATATGAATATATATATATATTATTTATGTATATTTAAATATATAATATATATTCATATATAAATTAATATCTACATATATTTATTAATATATGTATGTATGTCTCCTTATGTATGTATTTGTATGTATATATATAAATAAATAAATAAATAAATAAAAATAAATAAATAAAAATAAATGTATATTGAAAAAGAACCGTAAGCTATCGAATCGAACCACGAATGGAAACGCAAGCTATCGAATCTAACTTGAATGACGAATCCAAATCGGAAATTGAATCGCAAGCTAACGAATTGATATTAATCAAGAATCGCTTACTAACGCCCATACTCCCCGCAGGACTCGAATCGTTCCGAATCGAATCGTTAATCGAATCGCACTAGGCGGAATCGAAGGCCAATTCTCAGGGAATCAATTCCTTCTGTAAAAAATCGAATCGAAATCGCCAAAAACGAACCGGGACCACCCTGTTCATAGCGAAATTTCAAGATCTCCATTTATTATCATTTATTTTCCCACCAAAAATCTCCGAAAGAAACATAAAGAGGGTACCAATATTTACCAGACGCCTCAACGGTCCTTTGATCCTTTGATCCTTTGATCCATCCCCGGCTGCCGATGCCTTTGGGATATCTGCTCAGCACATGTCGATGTCCCCGGAACTCGCTCTCGGGCATCATCAACCTGCCGGCGAAACTACCCGGCCTGGTAAACGTGAACAAAAAACCATGGAACATCACCATGCCAATGGGCAAATCAACTATTTCAATGGCCATGGCTTCAATAGCTTTTTGTATGTTTATCAGAGGGTAAGGTAGATGTGGAAAACCCATATGAAAACCTATGGTTTAATGGTCAGTTTTCCACATCTATGTCTATGTTAACAAGAGGCCAACCTTCGTCATTACACATGGCCAATCTTGGATCCTCGACTTTTTTTTGGCTGGTCGGGCAATATATCCCCGTTCGTGGCAAGTACGAAACTATCCGACCAAGATTTGAACAGTATATAATCTCTGCCTGCTTGGAAGAAAACATATTCATCTCAAGGACAACTCCATGTGCCACATTTGGGGGTAACATCATAGATAAGTAGATGGCAAACGCATAGACTTAACCAATTGGGAGAAAGAGAAGACATTAGACAAACTGCAAAATTCAAACACTCCACGCATGAACAAAAAATGCAGAACGGGAAAACACACTATAGATATCTATAGATACTATTGGAGTCCAAGTCACATGAAACAATGAGTATATATATAATATCAACACTACAACAAAGTGGTGCCCCCAAGTTGCAAGCTGGTTACTAAACCCCACTAGCTATATATATATATATGCAACAATCCGTTTTTTCCCGCTATGACCAAACTTAGCTAAGTAAGGAGCACTACCTTGTAGCCAGTATCTACAATGCGGTCGCTGTGAGGTCATAATTTGCAACACAATTCACAGGGGGATTGCTCCCCAAGCTGTTCAGGAATGACATTTATGGGGATATCATGGAGGTATAATGAAGGTATGACAAACACATGGTGATTCTGGATTTTCATCACAATTCCCTCCGGCAAGCAAACGTGGCAATGGAAAACAAAACAAACAATATGTATAGATGATTTTTTCCTATAATCTAAACCTCCATCTATAGGGTTTCCCATTCCCATGTTTGACTACTGAAGGGTAATTGGGTATTGAACAGGTCATTTAGGTCAGCTTTAGTGTTCACCTGATTTCACCTGGCCTAGAGGGTCAAGAATTTGTGAGTCTTTGCCCATAGTTGATGAATCGGTTGCTTTTTGCAACTAGGAGTACAATGTAATGATAGGACCAATATCATGGAAACCATGAATGACTTTTTAGAAAGTTCGTGAACAAAAGGCATCAAGTTAGCTTTTTTTCCTATGCGCTACCCTCTGGTAAATTAACATAGACCCTGGCAGATAGGGGTTGGAAGACTAGTTTCCATTAAAAATTGGTGATTTTCAGGGTCTATGTTTATTTACCAGAGGGTATGAATTTGGCAATCATCATGGCACTGCAATCATGGCATCATGGCACTGCCATGGCGTCGCCAGGGCACTCTTCAACGACTTGCCGTAGGGCCATCTTCTGCACCTCAGAATAAGGAACGCCCGCCTTTTTTTTTGATAACGGACGGGCCTTGAAATGGTTAGCAGTTTTGATGATTTCTGTTTTTGGTTGTCATTCCATAAATGGTGACTTACTGACTTATGTTTGTTGTGTTTTTTGGTCACTATTCTCTAGATTCATAGAATCGATAGGGGCTGAAAAACCCATTGACGTAGCCATCCTTTGGGGAGACCGCCGAGACGTTTTTCACCTGGATTGACTTATCTCTTCCTAATCAAAAAGTAAAAGTTATTTGTTCCTAATTAATCAAAATCAACATTCCATAGATAACTGATAACTTCTAGATACGTCTAGGTTCTATTCCTCATCAAAAGAAACCCATTGTAGCCTTGAAACAAAAGAACTGGGTTTATCAACAATTTCATTTTTTTCTCAAACAATTGTGATAGTTAAGTCGGTTTATAACAGGGTTTGACAAAAAACAACTTACGACTTCGGTGAAAGCCTGAACGAAAGAAAGGCCTGGGGCTCCCATGCGATAGCTGAGTTGAGTTATAACTCCAACAACACAGGATCTGAGATATTTATCTTGAATTTGCTTAAGGAACCCCTTCCAAAATTAAAATACATCCTCATAGATTTCCCAAGTAGTGGATTTTCCATTGGGAGCATATCAAATCAATTCAAATCATATTCACCAAAGCCAGGTCAAGGGCCAGTCTGAATCCAGACTGATTTGTACTGGGAATTCCTGCTGCATTCAGCTCACAAAATCCATGTAGCTGGCTGTCGCCGTACAAAGATACGGTGCTCTCTTCCGGCATCCATTCGGACGTTCCACCTTTCAATCATCATCCAAAATTTCGATCAATTTCACCTTCAGTAGGTCAATTTCGGGGTGCTATCAGTGGTGGCCCTTCTGCACAGTCGATGGAAAGGATATCTGCCCCTGACACTTGCAAGAAGTGAGTGTTAGCTATCGTCTCACGAGAGTACTGAGACTGATATCAATGGGAATTTCAGGATCCTGAAATGGAGGTACGTTAGTACCATATAAGGCCATATTTTGTGGGGATATTCACTTACATAGGCCTTATATAGGCCTTATATATGGTAGGTACCTCCATTTTAGGTTCCTGAAATGGCCATTGATGATACCAATGATACGTAGTGGATGGAAGTTGCGAAATCCTGCACCATTAGCATTGGTAAACATCTATAATCCAGTTATATATATATATACCATGTAACATATAAATCCACTATAACTATATAATAATGAGATAGATGGTAAACATCTCATTATTCATTATTTATAGGGTTTCAACTCCATCCGTTTGGAGATGCTGGGGAGCTGCATCTACAAAAATCCGGGGGCCATGTTGAGCCTCAATTTTGGTTAAACGCTTGGGGGCGCAGTTCCAGGTCTGACATGTTCTCACTGGATAGATATGGATAGATTATAGTAATAGGGCTTATCCCAACTTACGAGTATGAGGTTTCTTTCCAAGTTATACTCATCAACAACCCCCTTGCAATATCATATCTCATCATCTCAAAAAACACATCAAATTAGGGCAAGTCTACACCGTGAAAGTCTGGGCAATGGCCCGCAAGGATGTTCCACAACAAGAAGATTTCCTGCAGCTCTGCTTCATTGGGAGTATTCCACAGTTCAACAGCTTCCTGTCATTGGCCAATTGGGAGTAATATCCTGGATATTTAAGCCACCGGGTCAAAAACCGTACGTGTAGTCGTGCTCATTTGAGGAAGTTGGGGTGGGGTGGGTTGGGGTGGGGTGGGGTGGGATGTTAACGTTCATTGCGACTGCAACCACATAGTACGTTCTCTTGCACTTCCACACATACGTCATGCTACGCTGCTGCACGTTCTCTTGCACTTCCACACATACGTCATGCTACGCTGCTGCACGTTCTCTCGCACTTCCACACATACGTCATGCTACGCTGCTGCACGTTCTCTTGCACTTCCACATATACGTCATGCTACGCTAGATGATCTTCACTTGCACTTCATGCTACGCTAGATGATCTTCACTTGCACTTCATGCTACGCTACATGATCTTCACTTGCACTTCATGCTACGCTACATGATCTTCACTTGCACTTCATGCGACGATGATCTTCACTTGCACTTCATGCTACGCTACATGATCTTCACTTGCACTTCATGCTACGCTAGATGATCTTCACTTGCACTTCATGCGACGCTAGATGATCTTCACTTGCACTTCATGCTACGCTACATGATCTTCACTTGGGGGTGGTGTGGGTGGGGTGAGGTGGGGTGGGATGTTAACGTGCATTGCGACTGCAACCACATAGTACGTTCTCTTGCGCTTCCACACATACGTCATGCTACGCTGCTGCACGTTCTCTTGCACTTCCACATATACGTCATGCTACGCTAGATGATCTTCACTTGCACTTCATGCTACGCTAGATGATCTTCACTTGCACTTCATGCTACGCTACATGATCTTCACTTGCACTTCATGCTACGCTAGATGATCTTCACTTGCACTTCATGCTACGCTACATGATCTTCACTTGCACTTCATGCTACGCTACATGATCTTCACTTGCACTTCATGCTACGCTAGATGATCTTCACTTGCACTTCATGCTACGCTACATGATCTTCACTTGCACTTCATTCTACGCCACATGATCTTCACTTGCACTTCATGCGACGCTAGATGATCTTCACTTGCACTTCATGCTACGCTACATGATCTTCACTTGGGGGTGGTGTGGGGTGGGGTGGGGTGGGGTGGGATGTTAACGTGCATTGCGACTGCAACCACATAGTACGTTCTCTTGCACTTCCACACCTTTGCGTATCCGCAGTTGGCAATGGAGATTCACACATGCTGAACATGACAACTTGTTTCAACTGTGTGGCACTCAAGTGGCCAAGTTGTAGGCAAGACAAGTCAGCGAGTAAAAAACGCACGCCGCTGTGGAAATAGGCACATCGGATCCCAGAGATGCATCCGTGGAGGTAACGGCATTTTGACAAAAATTGCTTGTCGCTGAGGTAAAACACACAAAAAACAGAAAACGCAACCAGAATTAGACATTTTTCATCATCGCCAGAGACAAAATCACTGGTAAATCCCAGTGTTGCTCAAATGTGCCGAGAAGTGAATTGCTAACGCCTACACGTTCCATTCCTGCCCCGGCGGGATATTTAAGTATATGGAGGTTTCCTAAAACAGGGGTAACCCCAAATCATCAACAAAATAGGATTGTCCATGAAATAAACCATCCAGCTATTGGGGTACCCCTATTGTTGGAACTTCCCATAATGTCAACCCCACATTAATAAACCATGGTTTAAATATTAGGGGGTACTCCTCCAATAGTCATAATCTGATACTTATATGGTACCCCCCAATTAAACAGCCTAGGGGTTTATTATTCCAGGGTTGACATTATCCCATTGACCAAATCCCACTATTGGATACGATAAATAGCGCAATTCTCACGGCCAAGTGGCTGAGAGCACCAAGGTTGCGAAGATGCAAGCGCCCTGAAGAAAGCTGAGGGAACATGGTGATTTCACATGGAAAATATGGTGATTTAACCATCACACACGGAAAAACATGATGATTTCATTTCATTGGCAAAAAACGTATAAACATTGGGATTTATGTTTTATCTCATTACTGTTAGCTAAGTTGGTCTGTTTGCTATGTGAATTCGAGGATACTTCGAGTGGATCGAAACCAACCGGCCCACCAGCAATGCTTGTTTGTTTGTTTGTTTGTTTGTTTGTTTGTTTGTTTGTTTGTTTGTTTGTTTATGTGTGTATGTATATGTTTAAAAACATAACTGGAGATATATCAACTGCATATGTCTGAATCGCCAGAGTGGATCCAGCAATTATTCGAGGTGTACAAGCTAAGTTGGATGAGAACTCCAATGACGTAGGGTGTAATTATTGTTCTGTAGTTAAAACATGTTACTGTAAAACTAAAATCAATCCATATGGGAATTTCAGGATCCTAAAATGGAGCTACGTTAGTAGCATATAAGACCATATGGCTATGGATCAATACCTATACATACCATTTTTAGTGGGATGAACATCCATTTACCAGCTATTTTGATGTTCACCAGGGGTACAAGGTTTTGACACACTGCCATATAAGACCATATTTTGAAGGGATATTCCCTGAAATTTAGGCCTTTAAAATCAACATTCAAAACAACAGGATGGGCTGATGGGCAGCATAAAACTGTGTCGCCGTGTCGCCACGCCCTGGAACAGAAACCAAGGATTCAACCGTAGATTTCCATTGAAATAATTCTACAATGTGGTACCCCCCAGTGATGTTAGTTAGTTTATAACCCCCATCAACTAGTTCGCTATATCTACCATGAGTTCCACTTATTGTAGTTATGTGCACCAACTGAACGCTATCTATGGGGCACCACTATGTATGAACTAAAACTCTTGAGATTTATTCCTCAATTTACCCTCTGGTAAACGTTTACATAACGAACTGGAAAATCACAATTCGTTTAATGGAAACAAATCCAGTATCAATTGCAATGTTCAATAGCTATGTTAAATTACCAGTGGGTAGTTTCCTTCAACCGGCTTCAGCCGTAAATTGTACGCGTATGAAATTATATAGTGACGCATTGCTTTTCCAATACCACAATGTGAATGAAATATAATGCGGCTGATTATTTTATATAATTACATCTCACTATTATAATGTGGTTTATATCCTATTACATCCTATTTTTGAGTGGGATGAGTATAAACCATGGTTAATCTTTGGTCCCCCAAAAATATCTTTAACTGGTTGGCTGGTGATTTTCGCTTCAAAAAAACAAATCCAGGATTCGTTTCTACCGTCGGTTAGGATGATTGTCAATATATCATACGATTCTTATCCCAATGAGTTATCGCTATGAAACCACATAAAACATTATATGAATACCCTCTGGTAAATTAACATAGACCCTGAAAATAAGCAATTTTTAGTGGAAACCAGTCTTCCAACCCCTATCTTCCAGGGTCTATGTTAATTTACCGGATGGTAAATCATCTATTGTTTATAGTATTCCGTTTTTTCAATCATGCTAATGAATAAATCACCTATAGCTTTTTTTTTTCCCATTTTCCCATGATCAAACCGCCGCCAATTCACCGTTTCCCAGCCGCCCCAGCAACGACGGCACCTGCGAATGGTATTCCAACAAGTCCTCCGTGGTCTCGATCTTTATGCCTGGCCGCGATGGCGGAAATGGGCCAAGTTTCCTTGGGAAATTTCCGACCGAAAATATCAACAGCCCTAAGCCTTTAAGCCATCGATTTGGGGCTGACTTATTCCCAACATATGGAGGAAAAAAACAAAATTCCAAACCACCAACCAGATATATAATGCAATCTGATGTTTTTTTTGATGTTTTTCCGGAACCGAAGAATAACAAGCAATTCGTAAACGTATATCTCGATGGCAACTTGAGAGCCCATCCCAGGCAGATAGCTAGTGGTAGATGTTGAAACATGGGGACTCAACGAGGAAACATGGTGACATACTGGGGATATGTAGAACATCATGGGATAATTGTATATAATTGTGGGAAATGATCAGCAACAATTTGATGATTCGGGTGTGTCTGATAATGGGGATAGCCCTTGTATCGGGGGGATGATAATTCGCTCGAATTTGGGGTACCATATGTTCAAACATGTTCAAACAAACTCATGACACACACACACATGTTCAACCCTGATTTCAAACCAATTAATCATGTCTTTGCCTTTCCAAGTAGACTGAGCACTACTTCTGGTGAAACATCTCCAAGTCCCCATCTTGCAGCACCCAGTGGGGCCCAGTGGGGCCCCCGTTGTGATGTCTGTTGGTTTATAAACCCCATGAATACTGTAGGTATAAAAGTACCATTAAAAGTACCATGAATCACAGTTATTGCAGTTATGATCAGTTATGATGAGTTATGTTGACCACTGGGGCCCCACTTTGTAGCAATCATTTACCCAAATAAGCCTGGAGAAACCCAGTGGATCTTGACAAATTCTCGGTGGGCTACCCAGTGACTCAGTTACCCGGGACCTAACAAAAAATTGTCCTGGCATCATTGCCAATCTTAGATACCCTGCAAAGAATTGAATTGCTATTAGCTCAACGGCCATTTCAGGAACCTAAATTGGAGATACCTATCATATATACGGCCTATATAAGGCCTATGTAAAAGAATATCCCCACTAAATATGGCCAAACATATGGTACAGCACCTCCATTTTAGGATCCTGACATTCCCATTGATTAGTTGGTTGGTAGATATTCCTTTCATTCGCAAAAAAATGAACGATTAAACTAGCCATCCAAGGTTGACCTAGGCACAAGCACTTTGCAAAGTACATGTTCTGAGCAAAATACATAATTTATAATAAACATGTTCTGAGCATAGTACAAACATGGTTATCATGTCTAAATGGTCATCATTTCTAAATGGTTACCATTTCCAAAATGGTTATCATTTCTAAATGGTTGTCATTTCCATTTTTTTATCATTTCTAAATGGTTATCATTTCTAAATGGTTATCACTTCTAAATGGTTGTAGTCCATATATGCTCATCATTTCCCTTATAAATAGTTCTACTCTATAAATGACCAGAAACCCTTGGAAGCAGCCTATCTTCTCATCCCGAGTGACGACTACTTCGCCAAAACGCCAACGTGTCATTCATCGAAATCAAGACATAGCTGGGTAGATATAAATACCATAAAATCCCACATTCATCAACAAACATATAGGTATTTATATACCCAGTAATTACATATTATACCGTAATCTATAGTGATATACAGTGAATTACATATTAGCTGGGTAAATTTTAGTATGTATCACTAACCTGAATTAAATAATTAAGACCATTTTGGGATGATTCCTTTTATTAACAATGATTCCAGTGAGGGAGAACAGTGAGGTCGTTATAATTTACCCAGATATAGGTATTTATATACCCAGTACGGTTATTAATGATACATACAATTGGTATATAATACCTATCAACAAACAATTGGAATAATCATCTGGTTATGAATGAATTTATCATCAATTAATCACCAATTAATGAATCACAAGGAATCACCACTTAATCACTGGTTGGTGGTATACCTACCCCTCTGAAAAATATGAGTTCGTCAGTTGGGATTATCATTCCATATATTGTGGAAAATAAAAAATGTTCCAAACCACCACCCAGCTATTGCCTATTAAATGAACATTGATATAAATATACATATAAACTATGAAATACCTAAATAAATACCTGTTAACTATTAAGGAAGTCTGAAAAGTGAAAAGTGATTGATGTCCATTGCCCAAAAGTATTTGATGACCATTAATGAATGGTTGTTCTTGACATGGCAAGGTCTAGTCACCAAAGTGTGCATGTTTCCCCATTCACATCGATGCAATTGTGAGTGTTTCCCTTCAAAGGGAACCTTTTTTGTGAACTTGCCGGCAACCAAGCAATAGGATCACCCAATACTTCCACATTGTTGAGATTTTTGTTTTAAGTGACGATGTCTTGTCGAGTACGTGGATGTTTGCAGGGACTTCGCTGAACTGGTTTCGCGGCCTCGATTCGCGGCTGCAGGATCTGAGTCAGACGTTGCTCCGATGGCTTCTGAACGCCAAGTTTCTGTAATGTCAACCCTGGATTAATAAACCCCAAAGGGCTGTTGAATTGGGGGGGATACCATTTATATATCATATTGTGACTATTTGGATGGTACCCCCACAAATAATAAACCATGGTTTATTAATCCGGAGTTGACATTACTCAAGATCAATGTTCCATTGTACTGAAAAGCTGCGCCGAAGTTTGACAATTCCCAGGATGTATCTGCCTGGAAAACGCCAAACCTCAAGCAGACAATTGGCAATTCCAAACCACGTGGTAGTGATATGCATCCAACAATCAGGTAGCAGGTGCCCTGTACATCAAACACAAGAAACAGAAACACGACACTGGTTCACCTCTTTGAAGTGATTCCCAAACCTGCAGTTGCTGGTGAAATTCTATGGAAATTTGTGATTAAAGACTCAGTTTCGGTAGCTATCTGTTCAAAGTCGATGACCAAAAACTCAAAACACCATTCTTGCTGCGTGTAGTACCGTATAACTAGTCACATCTCACCCAAGCAGAATTCATATCCCTGCTGTTGTGTTTGTGTATCCATGTGTATCCTAATTCCTAATAATTCCTATGTAAATTATCCCAGTCTTATTTTCAAAAATAACAGTCTTGGCTATCGGATTATAACTCCTGCAACTTGTTGGTGAATTGTGGGATCATCATGCCAGGTACTGGTAATTAGGATAGAACACAACCAGACTATAGTTCAAAACCACCAAGTAAACTACATGAGAATGAAGTGTTGGTAAAACATTATTAGTAAAACAATATTTTAACATATTTTAACCATCCCCCAGTCATCACCATTGTCATAGGTAGTATGTTTGCCATTCCCAGTCATGGATTCAATGGCCATTTCAGAAACCTAAATTGGAGGTACCTACCATATATAAGGCATATGTAAGGGCTCAATTTCAGGGAATATCCCCTCAAAATATGGCCAAACATATTGTACCCTACCTCCATCTGTTGGATCCTGGAGATCTCCCATTGAAGGATGGTTTACCCTCTGGTAAACGTTTACAAAAAGCTATGGAAAATCACCATTTTTTCATAGGTAAAACATGGTAAAACATCTATACACGGTCCATTCGCCATAGCTATGTTAGTCATTACCACAGGGCATGACATTGTTTTACCCCCATGAAACCCATTTGGAGATCGTCGGTCTCACGGTGAGACCACGCCTTCCGAGGACAGGATGGCACTCAGGGTGGGATCCGCCGTCATTTGCAGGAGTAAACTCCTGAGCAGCGAGGGGTATACCAAACATCTTGTGGTTTTATGGTTGATAATGGTTAATCATGGTTAATCATGTGATTAATAATGGATAATAATGGATAATAATGGATGATGGCCCAACCAGCAGTTATTCTTACAGAACGGGGGTTCATGGGGACGTGATTTTTGCTTCAAAACCCTTACAATTTACAATCACCTCCCCGATGCACGGACAATCAGGATTTTCTGATATTTTTGGGTCAATAAGGGGTATATATCTGGGTAAATTACAACAATTCACCAACCTGAATAGTTCGGCCATTTGGGGATGATTTCCCTTATTAGCCATGATTCCAGTGAGGGAGAACAGTGAGGTCGTTATAATTTACCCAGAGATATATATATATATATATCTGAAATCATCACAATACTGCTACTCACTGTCACTAAGACTATCTAGCTCGACTTGATCGGAACGGCCACTTGGCAAAGCACCACTTTCCGACCGTTTCCGGTGATTTCCTTTGGGGACCATGGGGACGTGCTCATGAAACCTGCACAGGCACAAAAAAAAAACACAGATTTCCAATGGGGATACAGAGTCCTGAGATGTCCTGAGTAGATGCTGGATTTTTTTTGGTGCCTGCCAATGTTTTTCGAGCATCATTACAAAACAAGATGCAAAAACTTAAGCGTTTGGCCTAGGTTTCAGAGCCACCAGATGCAGAACACATCTGTTTTTTTATACCCTCTGGTAAACAAACTAAACAGTTTGCAAACTGGAAAATCGCCATCTTCAAGTTCGGTAAATCAACGAACTAAATGGGTCATGTTCAATAACTATGTTAAATTGCCGGGTATACCAACCATCTGATTCATTTATATTCATTTGATGGTTAAGTACACTAACCTGATTAAAAAAATCTTGGGGACTTCTACTCGCTGATTGGGGATTATGAACTAAGCCGCTGTTCCCAGGTCATGGGGGGAATCGAATTACCAAACTTTTTTGGGATCTGGCCGTGACTCAAAAGGATATAAAAGGATGGTAATTGAAGAATGGACCGAACAAACCTCGTGACCAAGCCTGTCTGGTTGGTGGTTGATCCTACCCCTCTGAAAAATCATGGAGTTCATCGGTTGGCTTTGCTATTCCCAATATATCGAAAGTATTCGAAAGTCATAAAATTCCATGGTTCCAGTCACCACCAACCAGCTGTTATTTTGGCAGCTATCAAATCTCAGAAGTTCAGCATGTTGCCTTGGTTCCCTTGGTTCCTGCGGTGAGTCATTCCATGATACTGCTTGGTTGATAGGGATTCCCCGTTCTTGGATTATTATAATCCCCATTTTTTTTGGGATTCCCCTTGTGGATGATTATAATCCCCATTTTTTTTTGGATAGTATATGGTAGTATAATCCCACTAATATCTACTAATCATCAACCAGCATTGGTTTAGCAAGTTTAGCAGCCGCTGCTCACTGCTCATGTCACCCCCTCTAACTGTTAACCCAGCAAGAGGGGTACCATCTGGTTATTTTGCATAGCCATGGAAAATCTGCTTTTAAGTGGATTTCCCCATTGATAGCATGGTGATTTTCCATGTTTTTTTTGTTAACGTTTACCAGGCCGGGGCCCTACCTCGCCGCCAAGAAGCTGCATGATGGATGCAAAAGGCATCTGTGGTTTCACTGGGATATCCAGAGATTCACCTTCCAAACCTGAGAAAAAAAAAGCTCCGGCGAGAAAACGGCACAAACCGATCAAAAAACAACGGCCAAAATCATAAACTAAACTTAAATATAGTGGGAATATATGGGAATATATCATGTTTAATGGGAATATCATGGGATGATTCATATATATATATACATAGTGGTGGTGTACTGCGGATATAAGCCAGTTATACTGTTGACGGCAACAACTGTACCAAGGATTTGTTGGGGACAACGCTTAAATTCTTCATCTCTCTGGGAAGGGATGCTCAGCTGCTCAGCTGCTCAGGAGCCGAAGATGCTTCCTGATGACATGTTGTTATCACCGGCCAAAGTTCACCGCAGGAAAAACAGTCCAAGATGTGGACTCCCGTTGTGTACAGTGCCCGTGCTTGATGATATCTGGGCCACCCAGAATTCGTACGGATCCTGGTTGGTGGTGCAATAACCATCTTGAAAAATCATGGAGTTCGTCAATGGGAAGGATGATATCCCATATATGCAATGGAAAATAAAACATGTTCCAGTCACCACCAACCAGGATCAAAAAGGCGCATTGGAACCACCTGGAGCAATCTCAGACGGCTGAGCCTAAGCAGCGAGCAATGCCTGGCTCCGCGGACCGAAAACGTCCAGGAGCAATGACACTTTCCAGGCTGTACTCTGCTCAGGTTGGACAGCTTCGACGTGGTGAGCAAATATACCTCACATTTATGGCCCGTTAACAGCTATAAATGGTTTTCAATTGTTTTAACTGGGATTATCACGGTGATTATCATTCCATAAATGAAGTTATTTCACTGACTTAAATCTGTACCCTCTGGTAAACTAACATAGCTAGTGAAAATTGTCATAGAAATACTTGATTTTACTAATCAAAAATGGTGATTTTCCATAGTTATGTAAACGTTTACCAGATGGTAAATAGCTTTAACTGCACAAGACTTGTGCATCTGTTTGGAAAATCCGCTGGCATCAAGTTCGATGGGATGAAGTTTGTGGTTCCGTCGAAGTCCCATTTCAAATCCAAACAAGTCCAAACATAAAACCTTATGATAAATAATGGCTAATATTGGGTAATGAATTAATGAATCCCGAAAAAAATGCTAATCATGGCTAAGAATGTAATAAAACAATTCATGAATCATGGATTTTCATGGGTGGTTCACATAAATCCTTATAGAAAATGAACCAATATGACCATGATGACCATCCCCCATGGGAAACTTCCAGCCATGTCTTGACCCGTGAGGCCCTGGTTCATCCCATGACATCCCGATTTTCTGCCGTACAAAGTGGCCATATCAATCTGGAATATAAACCACTATATATATCCACTGATTCAGTTTGTTTTGAGTGGTTTCTAATCATATAATCCATCTGATTATATGACAAACTTATTTTGAGTGGTTTATATCATCAAACTGAAACATATATAAACCACTCAAGACCACCAGCAACTTATATGACGTTATATGCATCCAGCACTCAGGTACGAGGTTTACTGCAAACCCTTCACAACTTACATATCGCTACTCGCTGGTCATGTTTTCTGTGGCTCATAGATGTGATGACATAATTACGTAACCCGGGGGTAAGTAAACATGAACTCAAAATATATACCATCCCTCTTAATCAAACAGAGCCATGGAACATCTCCCATAGGTGATCTTCCCATTTAATCTGGGAAAATTACCCTCTTGTAATTTAACATAGCTATTGAAAATGGTTCATTTATAGTGGATTTTCCCATTAAAAATAGTGATTTTCAACAGCTATGTTAGTTTGCCAGAGGGTATCATATTTCGTCTGAAACTTGCGGTCTGGGATAATTCCCCTATACTTTCACCATGCAGGCTTCGGTCACAGTGAGATCAAGGGCTGAACTCAAGTGCCAGATTCTGGCCAAAAATTGAGACCTAGCAGTATTCAATCATTTCAATCAGTTCAATCATTTCTCAATCATTTCATCATTTCAATCAGTTCAATCATTTCAATCATTTCAATCAGTTCAGTCATTTCTCAATCATTTCTCTAACATTTCCTCAACATTTCCCTCACACTTTTCAACCATCGAAGCATTCACCTACCATTACCACCAGCTACCAGCGGCCGATCTAGGTCCATTACCCGGTCAACATCATCCAACTATAGATATATTAGATACGGTGTAAATCACACATAAACTATCGAAAAATGTCAACCCTGGATTAATAAACCCTTAGGCCGGTTAATTGGGGGGGGGTACCATTTAAGTATTGGATGAAATGACTATTGGAGAAGTACCCCCCTAATTAATAAACTATGGTTAAGCAAAATCCGGGGTTGACATTAACATCCAACGACCATAGTTAAAGCCGTCCAACTATAGATGATATATATATATATAGCATACATCCTAACATCAATCCAACAGTTACTGTAACCATGGACCATGGCCAGCTAAACTCATCAATTTGCCGCTTTTGGGAACCCCAAAGGACCCAGCGCGCCTTTGTGGATTGTCACCATGATTTCCTGCGCCGTTCGGGTCACCAGCGTGCTGGGATTATAGCCATCCCACTAATTTGGGAATCCTTGTGGCCATGATCATTGTGGTGACCATGCTCAATGGCCATTTCAGGAACCTAAATTGGAGGTACCTACCATGTATATATAGGCCTTTTTTTAGGGAATATCCCCACAGAATATGGCCAAACATATGGTACAGTACCATTTGTGGCTAGAGAATTCAAATTTGAACCATGGCAAATAAATATATGGTGTGTGATTGTGCCAAAAAAACACATCGATACTCCGGAAACCAAAACACGCCTTGGAGGATCATCCCGCTTTTTGGTCGCTGAACAACAACCCTGATTAGTAAGTCCCATGTGGTTCTCAACATTATTTAAATATACTGCGTATATATATATATATAAATAATATATATATATATATGTATACATATTATACAGTACATCCGACAAACACAGACCGTTACAATTCGTCGTCGGTCGTCATCCTCCAATTTTCCGGGGTTGATATGTTTTTCCATGTTCCCATTACACGCCCCATAAAATGCTTGTTGTTTTATAAGCCTCCACAACTTGTCTGGTTCAGTTCTAAGTTGGTTAATTACCATAAACTTTTAGTGAAATTCCAGTGATGTTTACTGGTTGGTGGGATACCCACAACTCTGAAAAAGTAAAAAAATGAAAGTCAATTGGGATGATGACATTCCCAACTGAATGGAAAGACATAAAATTCCATGGTTCCAAACCACCAATCAGTTTACCAACTTCCTCAGTGATCCCGGAGGCCCCATCTTCGCAAAACCCCGGTCCTTGCTGTCGTCATCCGACACGTCGCCATGTTTTTCCGCAGAATTGGCTGGACCCATCGCGCGGTTGTCCAAGTTCCCGAGCGGGAAAGCCGGAGAGACTGAAGAACGCGTTGTGAAGAACGGGTGAAAACGGTGACCCCTTTGGTGAAACATGGTGAAACTGCCATGTAATTCATGTCATGATGTCATGTTTCCAGATATCTTAACTGATTTAAAATGCTAAAAACACATGACATTGCTCAATGTTTGAGAGGTGTCAACTAGTCCTTCATATCTAACCTAAACATTTTGACCAACGTTGCATAGTTGACTGAACGTTCGCAAAAGGCGGGCAGATGCATCCGTCCAGGAAATACACCCCATGGGGGTTCAAAGTAGGCTCCGTTTCTGACTAAGCAGTGACCTAAACGATGTAATGATCTTAGTATATTGAAAAATATATGTATGTATGATATGTATAATATATATATATATATTATAAATAATATATATATATATACATTTATTATTTGTAGAGTATCACATATATAATATATAATAAACTATATGGGTAAGTTGTTTTATGGTAGTTTCTTTTTTGTAGTGAATGATATCAATGGTTTCTGAAATAAGCGACAATATCATTCTGCAGTACACATTGCCCATATCTTAAGAGAAGCTCATCCTTGGCCTACACTACTTTGTGATCCCCAGCATGAAATTAAACAAACATGCTGACATTCCCCCATATATATTATAGTTTGTCAGGATACAGTATATAATAGTTTGTCAACATTTCTGATTTTGATGTAAATCCTGACAAATCATTGTATATCATTGTATTCTATGCATATTCGTTGACATGTGACATTCCGAGACATTTTTCTTGATGGGGATTTTGCAGCCATGTTTGATTAGAGAAGGGTATCCCATTAAATATCCCGTTGTTTCCCAATGATTCTTAACCACTATACCATGTAAAACAATATTAAACACATCATTTCAGTTTTGTTATGGCTATTTAACTATATTAGAAACATGTTCATTATAATATATTATAATCATTATTAACCAATTACACTCCTATTGATCATCAAACGGGCTTCGAACCAGGTACCAGGCTCCCACTTCCGATGAAAAAAACACCCTGCCCGGAAGCGCCTTTGCCATGGTGCCTGGTGCAACGGGCCTCAATGTTGGCTTATAATGAACTTAGCCAACCAAAGGTGGCGTATTGAATTTTCTTGGAAAATTCTTGGGTTAAACAAAATGTTATAATATGTTATAAGACCTGTTATAAGTTATTTCATGGGTTAATAATGATTGATATAACCAGCTTTTAGTTGGAATATTAAATTTTACAAGAATCCCCACCTGAGAGTCGTGAATTCTATGGTTTATGGCTTACATGTATCATTCACAATAGTTCTACAATGTGGTACCCCCCAGTGATGTGAACGTTAGTTTATAACCCCCATCAACTAGTTCGATATATCTACCATAAGTCCCACAAAAATTGTAGTTATGTTCACCTGAACGCTATCCAACGGGGGCACCACTATGTAATCTGTTTTCATAGAACCAACATAGACATTGACATTGAAATATGTGGCCATGGGGCTTCAATGGCTTACATGTTGATCCATGAAATATATAGATCAACTATACCCTATGGATCCAAAGACCTCCTTAAATGTATCATTCAGAATAGTTCTATATATCATGGGCAATTCAGGGCAGAAAGTTCTTTCAATGGACAAAAATCGTGTATCAATGGGGATCTCCGTGGCTGCCATGACCATGAGACCGATGAGACCGGATGGATTCTGGAATGGCCATTTTGAATATGGTGATTTAATGGTGATTTAATGGTAATTAATGGTGATTTAATGGTAATTAATGGTGATTTAATGGTAATTCATGGTGATTTAATGGTAATTCATGGTGATTTAATGGTAATTAATGGTGATTTAATGGTAATTAATGGTGATTTAATGGTAATTAATGGTGATTTAATGGTAATTAATGGTGATTAATGGTGATTAATGGTGATTAATGGTGATTAATTGTGATTTAATGATGGTTAATGATGGTGAATAATGATGACTGGTTGGTGGTTGGTTGAGCCCTACCCCCTCTGAAAAATCATGGGTTGTGAACGTCAGTTGGGATGATTGTTCCATTCCCAACTGAATGGAAAATACAGGACATAGAAATAGTTGGATGAGTCTGGTCTAGTCTGTCTACTCGAACAGCTATGGAAAAATATATGGAAAAACTAAAAATGTTCCAAACCACCAACCAGCTCTGTATTAATTGTAGACAACCTCCCAATGGCCCAAGGATCTGCAACATATCTGCAGCTATGGACCTCTGGATGGATAAGGAAAGCCAAACACGTTGATCTTTCTCAGGGGATTAACTGGTTGGTGGTGCAATGACCATCTTGAAAAATAGTCCATGGGAAGGATTATCCCATATATTCTGGAAAATAAAATTCATGTTTGAAACCACCAACCAGTCAACTATCTTTTTGTAGCACATTTAAGCCAACTGAAAGTTGCGTTGTCAACATTTCAGATCATTTACCCTCTGGTAAACTAACATAACTATCGAAAATCACCATTTTCAATGGGAAAATCCACTATAAATTGTCATTTTCAATAGCTATGTTAAATTACCAGAGGGTATGTAGTTTATGACAATTTGATTGTCGCTGTAGTAACAAGTGAACTTCTACTAAACCTGTTGCCATCAATCCTGTTGCCATCAACATTTCAGATCATTTAAAGTTTAGGGATCAACACACTCAGATCTTTTAAGATGAACGAAAAAACACCATTCCATGTGAAGATGACCCACAGGTTTGTGGTCCCATTCCGATGTGGTTGAAACGAAAACCTCTGAAAAACTATGGCTGATAAAATGGGGTCTGACTGTTTTGTTTTGTAGGAAATGATTGAGTTTCACGTCTTGTGAACTTGGCAAAGAATATTGCTGCTGAGAGTATTTTGCGTCGCATCTTGATTTCTTGTTTGCCTTATACTGTCTTGATGGATCCAAAACCACTAGTGCAACCACAATCAGTACGACCAATGTAAGTACAACCATCCTGTGATATACAAGTAGAAAGTAAACCATCCTCGAATCTCATCCTCGAATCTTCGGTGTATGCATTGGTGGTTTACACGTGTCTGATTCTACAACCATTCATGACTACTGTTTACTCTCACATGTTTATGGTGAGATTCGCATGTTTGATGGTTAAATCCAGTATAATTATTCAAGTCACCGTTGTTTAGTCATGTCTATTCTTAATCAGCATTTTTTTGATGGTTACCCTTTCCCAAATAAACACAGACCCTGAAAATAGGCAATTTGTAGTGGAAATCCCCCCTGCACTGTGCGTGCCTGTCACGGAGACATGCACAGGAACGGAACGCCAAATTCTGTGACAGCAGCTTAACTTACTCTTAAAAAAATCACATGTCTAATTTTACCCACCATAGATGTGTGATATCTTCTGATAACTCACGCAATTTTAACTCAGAGGTTTGGTAATTGGGTTGAGTCCTTTGAGGATTCTCTGGGTTAGAGTGATCATAGCTATGGAACATTGCCAATGAATTTCGATGATTTAGCTGCTATTGAAAGTGCTGATATGTGCTGATGTTCCATTGCCATAGATGATCATAGATCGCAAATAGCCCACTCATAGATTATTTAGCTTTAAACATGGTGATTTTCCATACCAAAACTGTTCAATGACCGGAGCCGCTCGACTTCTATCTCCAAATTCCGTATTGCACCAATCAGAATCTGGAGATGCCTGACACCTTTTTGGCATTTGGGTATGTCTGAAAATGGGGTATACCCCCAATTATAGCCATTTAGTAGGGATAATGATCATTAACCATTGGGTGTAGGGGTACACTATTTTCAACCCATTTGGTTCTAGTGATCATCCATTTTTTTGCACAGTCATGTGCTGAGGTGACTTACGTCCTCTCCTTGGGCGGCTGTCAATGCACTGCATGAGATGTGGAAGAACCAGCAACGTCTGCGGTGCCAGAAAGGGGAAAAAAATGTGTGCCAAAGCAACATTGAAAATCCTTAACATGGCTATCAAGGCTATCAAATCTTTTGTAGCAAACCTAAATTTTACAAACATATACAAACATACACTTACAGCACATTAATCAATGTTTCATATACCTTGAGGCATCGGCATCCCCTATTGGACAAACCTAAATAGGCTCTTTTACTCTGGCTGCAAGCGACTCTCGCCTAAGAAATGCCACGGGATACGACGCCACGTGTGTTTCGTGAGATGCATAAGCAGAAATGTTCCACCACACTGGTGATGTGTAGATATGACGGCGAGGAATAAAAGATCAACGCCCCCCAAAATGAGAAATGATGACCTATGACTTATTCACTTGCTTGCTTGCTTGTTTACTTTTTTGCTTACTCACTTCCTTACTTCCCTACTTCCTTTCATGACTAACTTACTTGCTTGCTTGCTTACTTACTTGCATACTTATTTATTTACTTAATTATAAGAATATAAAGTCAACTATCATGGGGATATTTTCGGGATTTAAGTCCGATCTTAATGGAAGAAAACAATCAAACATGTGAGTGTCGCTGAACATGTGGATTTAAGTGGAGCAACCCTTCACCTCAAACCTGCGATTTATTTCGAAGTCTTTGATCCCTGTTGATGTTTGGTTTTTTGGATAATCCAACCGAGCTTGGAGGTAGCACAATTCCTTAGCATGCGGATCTTCCCTGGGGTTTCAAAAAACACCCCTCATTCCCACTGAAAAAAGTCAAACACTCCAGTTGATTCCGAAAACAACAGCCAACAGCCAATACCTGGTTGGTGGTATACCTACCCCTCTGAAAAATATGAAAGTCAAATGGGAGTATTATTCCCAACTGAAAGGCAAAATGGGAGTATTATTCCCAACTGAATGGAAAAATGGGAGTATTATTCCCAACTGAATGGAAAAATGGGAGTATAATTCCAAACTGAATGGAAAAATGGGAGTATTATTCCCAACTGAATGGAAAAA